TTTTTTTCAACTTGGTATAAAATTAAAAAAAAAAAAAAAAAAAAGGCGTAAAATCCGACATAACCCCCGCGAGTCATGTGCTCGTTAAACATTTCCGACGTTCTATAATAAAATACCAACGGTTGTTAACGAGTTACTGCGGTGTTCGATACGTCACACTCACGTCGTCGCGTCGGTGGAAACGATAAATAATGTCGGTTTTTTTTTTTTTTTTTCGAAATTATTTGTTCAACCCTTCTTCCGTTTCCCGTGCGCACTTTTGAAAAACGGCAAAAAACCGTAACGGTAACGAAGACGGTAATAACGACAATAATTACAATGATAACAACTCGTACAATAACCATAACAACAGCAAACATTGGTAATGCGAATATTATGAGAAAAACGCGTGGTACGCGCGTATACCTATGCGCGTTTTATTTCCGTTTCTATTATTTGGCCTCGCGTTGGCGCATCAAAAGGATTTTTACACTTTTCCGAATGGCACCGGTGGCATTATAATGTACAAACAGAATAAAACGATAGCGGAATTGTCGATGCGGGCAAAAACGCTAACCCGGTGACTTTTTCGTGATCCCCCCCCTCCGACTCGCAGCTACACGGAAGACCGCCCACGCCTAGAATGCACGCGTTTCATAAAAGATTACAATATTTTATATTATATCCATAAATACAAGGCGAGGGGTGGATTTGTTTTTGATCGCGGATCCATGTAGTTCGCGTAGTAAATTTAGGAAATTAACGATTTTCGGGTTTTTAGACGTTACATTATAGAATATCGTAGACTAAATTTTAAAAATATTTCATCCTTATTCAATAAGTACATTGTACGTTAATATTACTGTAAACCCGAATAAACCGACCGTTGACTGTCAATCAAGCAACCCGCATTTTCAAACTCGTCGACAATGAAATGAGCGTATTGTTTTAAAATTCGGAAAAAAAAGAAACCAGTTAAATCACCGGATTTTTTTTACAATTAACTGCGTTCAAAACTTCATCCAAAGAATTAAAAATCTCTGAAATGCCGTAAAATTGCATTATTAAAGGCATATATTTTAAAATCAGAACAAACTCTCACTTGAATTGGTAAATATCCAAAAAAGGGGGAAAAATGGACGAAAATCATTTTCAGGGCATACGATTTTGGAAAATATTACTAAATCGGCTGGAAATAAAAAAAAATACAAATCGAATTTACTAGAAATCATCGACGGTAAGTGAAATCATGATAGCAATACGTCTACAGTCGGTTCGTTATGGTGGTCGTAGACCCCTACGACCAACTATATCGATTAGGAATTATTTTCCGAATATGGCCAAATTGGCTTGAAAACACAACGAATAAAACGGGTCGTTTTGGGATTTTAGATTCTGAGTGGAGCGAAGAAGTTATTATGACTTTACAAAGATGTTTATTTTTAGTTTTTTTTTCTGTGGACAATTTTTTTACCTGGAGAAATATTGATCCGACTTTTAAGTGTAGCAAATTTTCAGATAAGGTTGTCATTTTTTGATTTTCCCAGGATTTTTCTAAACAAACCGAAAAAAACTCAGGAAAAACCGGAAAATCCGTAAATTAAACAAATATAATTAATTATTTTACTTTCTTACCATTACATGGCGTTTATATTGATGACGAACCATCACTATCAATTGAACTCCGTTCAGAATCGTTTTTTTCATTGGCATTGGTTTATCGTTGCACACAGGTATATTACATCGTAAATTACTTATAACGGTGGCTGCACCCGTCCCCAAAATCTTAGGCCGTCTTTTTTTTTTCCTGAAATCGGTTTCGGTTAGAAATTCTCACGCCGCCGCAGCCGACGCCGTCAGACGTGTCGGACGAAGATTCCCGCGGTTCACAAAGCGATTTTTTCCGTCGACCGCCGCCCGTATCCGCCGTCGTGAATTCCCGGGCCCGGCCCGCCGCCCCGGGTCCGCGGTACCGAAAGAATCGCTCTGTATACATATATATATACGTATACCCACGCGGTACGATTATTGTTATCGTTATTATTATTATTATTATTACTATGCGGCGCCGGACCCGCGTGGAGGAGAAGTGGCGGTTGGAGCGGGACACGTGGAGGGGATAGGGGTGTAGCGCGCGGCTACTATTTCGCCGTCGGGACCGCCACCGCCGCCGCCGCCGCCGTCCTTCGGCCCGGGTACGTAATTTACGACAATAAGTCTGATAAATGCGCGTTTACCCGTCTAATCTAAAGGCCGTCGCACGTATGCAAATATGACGTAGCATGTATAATATAATACCGCGAACGATATTACGTCTCGGCGGGAGTACGTACACGTCCGTGGCTAATTAATTGCACAATACGGTCACGTACCTCGGCCGTCATCTGCATGTAGGCAGGTACAATATTATCCGCACCGTATGTACACGCGATACATGTCGATCGTAGGCTTTTAACAATTACCGTTGGCGCATATATATATATAAATATATGGATTTTTTTTTTTTTTTTAGAGTCTGAGTGGAGCGAGGAATGCATTGGCTTTACAAGGATATTTTATATTCCCCCCTCCCCTTTTTTTTTTTTTCTGTGAACACTTTTAGAAATTATAATCCGATTGTCAACTATAGCACCTTTTCTGAGAGGAAATTTTCTCCGGGCGGACGGCACTTTAGAGAAGTCATTTTTTCGTAATTCTCATTAATATTTAAGATAATGAAGAAAACCCGGTTCTTCGGGTTAAAAAAAAATTGAACGATTAAAAATAAGGTTGTCATTAGCAACAGTTATAATTTATATTATGTTATTATTAAGTTTTTGTTATTCTGAATCATTATTAAACAAACATTGTTGTCATGGAAATGCAAATTGTTGTAATGATTTTACCATAATATGGCATAAAATATATTGTTGACAAAGCAACACTATCAACTGTACTCCACTCAGAATCGTTTTTTCGTTAGCAGTGGTGCATCGATACTTATAGGTTTACATAAAATTCCCGTCTGTATCCTATCTTCTCAGTTTCCCACCCACAAAAGTGGTTGCGTCCAAGAGCGAACTATGTCTGTCCTTTTTTGTTTTTCATACGGTACAGGTACCGTTTTCGTAACGCGCGGCGGCTGTTGTTTTGTATCGGATCGTTCCCCTTATGATAACGATATCCGATGTATATAATGAAAACGATACGGACTTATGGTGGGTGAGCCACTGTCGAAAGCGAGAAGTTAGGAAGTTAAGAAGTATAGAGTGGAATTAAATGTATATCTGTACGCTGCGACGGTTAATCTTCGCAAACAATAAACGATTCTGTGCGTTTTATGAGGCCACAATATATACAATTTGAAGATAATACATTTCGTACGTTTTCCCGGTTTTTCCATTGAAACGCAAAGGGAAAATCTAAAAATGACCTCCTTGAAGTGAAACTTCAGGTCAGCTCTACTTTCAGAAAAAGTGCTTGAATATCGGAGTAAAACTGCTGGTAGAAAAGTTGTCCTCAGAAAGAAAAATAAACATGATTGTAAAACCAACACATTACTGGTCTCACTCAGAATCTAAGAGGTTCATGGGTAGGCCATGGTTGTAGGTGAAAAAAAGAGGAAAATATGACGTAATCAGATAATTCTTTGTGAGCAAAAGACGGCTTTTAAGCGACGGATGTCCCGTAGTGAAATTAATATTGTACGTGGTTTTTAAACGCCGTAATTGTTACGGTTTTCGTCAAAATTTAAACTCACGACGCATATAGAAAAAAAAAAACAAGTTAGGAAAACCCGTACTTGCGAGCCAGTTATGTTCCCGATTTTTAAACTTGTTTAAAACAAAATATTCATAAAAAAATACTATTTGTTATTTATTTTATATTTTTAATTTTTTGTCTTGTATGAACGTACTATGTTTTAATAAACAATGGTAATAATATATCGAATTTTTTTTAAAAATGAAAATTAATGATTAGAATATAATGAATAACATACGTCTTCGTGTTAATGTAATAAACAACCATAACTATGTACTTACCATATAATGGTTGATCAATAACTCGAAAAATAATGAATATTTTGAAGAAAGTACTAAAATTTTATCTACAATAATTTCATTATCTTTAAATGAATTTTAAAAAAAAATGTATAAATAGATACCATATTTTGTAGATATTCCATATTTTTTCGACGTTTCTCCCCGCCCCAAATTATTCAGAAAACTATAGGACAGTTAAAAAAATAATCTCCTCAATGAACTAATTAGATAAACTTATCTGGCTACCAGAAATAATCAATCGCTCCCGTAAATCGATAGTCATCAGATTTATATACGACGGCGTATTTACAAACCTTATCTGAGTTCGGCCCAATTGTTATGCATAAATATGTAACCCGTCGTAGTTCTTCACCGTGTATGGGTTTTTGATTTATACTTAAGGCACTTACTATTATAATAGTATCAAGTTCGGACCAGTTTTTCTATTTCTATATGCTTTATCTAAAAGTCCTGTGGCTTTTCATTGAATTTATATATAGGTAACTAGGTTTTACGTACAAACTCAGGATACTATATATCTCCGATTATCATATTTTAATCAATAAGTTATGTTTATTAAACTCCTAAAATAGCTCTTGTGAAATTTAAAGTATAGAAAAATACGCGTCCACGACATTACCGATGCGTACGATCCGCTCAGTTTTTTAAAAATATAATAAAATAAAAATAAAGCCAATACCAGTATTATTTATTTCCTAAGAGGGAACTAAATATTATGATAGTTACAAAAAACAGCGATATGATCATAGGCGACCACATATAGGCAACGCATTTTTTTTTATGAGGTTCCATTTGGCACACAGTCCGTAATACACTCAGTAAAATAAGATGGGTGCTTATCACGTGGTAGCTATAGATGATAAAAAAAAAAAAAAAATGGCCTACGATTAAATAGTAAATAGCAAATAACCGTATTATTGTGGGCTTTATAGCACGAAATTTTATTTTGTATAGGAAATAAACTCAGACCTGGGATGAGGTAAACTGGAAAAAGTCCAAATGTCAAGGAGAAAATTGTGTCTATCGGCTTCAAAGGAAGCAGATATCCAATAAAAAAAAAGCTCGTCTAAGATCTACGTTTTTCGCCGCTTTGTTGTCTCTAAATGCGCGCGATTTTTAAAACGCGTTTTAACGTAAAATACACGTACGGATCACTATGGTGTGCTGCACAAAGGATATCAATTAGCAAGAGACTCTAATGCATTTACAGAAGGAGGAGGAGGATGGGGTTTTTACTTTTAGGTAGAGGGCCAGTCAAAGTTTTAATTATACGTAATTATATAGACGCATGGCGACGTACGACGATAACGCGATGACTGGGTAATTTTTTTTGTCGGGGATTTTTTGAAAACATTATTTTTTTGTTTTTTTTTTTTCATCGTACATTTTCCCCCACCTTCTCGCCATTCCAATCCCTATGCCACCCTTCCCCCTACCTCTTTAAACCCCACATCCGCCCCGTAAAACTTTTTGATAATTAAACGCGTTATATACTATTTATATAATAATAATAATAATGTTTAATGTGTGAACCGGCGGATAACGCATTAATCTTACTCAAGAAATTCATACGGGTATATAATATTAGCGGTGAGACCAGTGGGGGGGGGGGCGAAGCAGGAGCTATAATAATAATATGTATTTTCCGGCGGCGGCAGCCGGCTAATGTTTATTCAACGTGATTGATTTCGCGGAGGTGAGACGAACCGAATATAATAAATATTATTATTGCTATAAGTAGAGTTATTATGAGTTTATTGATGTAGGATGTTAACGACTTAAAAAATAACCGCCATAAATGACCATAGTAAATAAATATTTCAATGACCTGCGAGAACTATGAAAACAGTTTTAATGACCTTAAAACTTAAAAAAAAAATGACAATTCTACACGCACAAGAAAAACATCGCGGTTTATACGAACGGTTGCCTGTAAAAGTTTTTGTGTTGAGACGTGGACAACACACGTGAGCACATGTACGCTGTAAATTTTGTTGCACCAAAAACCTCCGTTTACAACCATAAACAATTATAAATAACTATATTTTTTGAAATACAAAATTTAGGGAAAATTTACTGCATTGGTTCGCAAGTAATTTTCAAAAATTCCATTTGTTTTTTTTTAGAAGCAAGTGGGAGATCGCCGATTTAGATAATCGGAAAAGATTATCTTTTTTTTTTTTTACAATCTAGCGTTTAACAGAATGCTAAAAAAGGTAAAATTCATGATGGATTTTTCACGTATTTAAATTTCGCATAAGGCTAAAGCAGGATAACAATCGATTTGTTTGACCGTATCAATTAAATATTTTACATATTGTTTCAAATAAACGTAGGAATAATATTGTATTAAAATATTTATCGAGACGATTCCGATTTAGCGGCGTCATTATTTATAGAGGGAAATGTAAAGCATTTTCCCATATCCTTGTAATCAGTGTATCACCTTTAAGCAAAAAGTAGACTGGTATCAGGTTAATTTTGGGCCGCGAGACTGCAATTACTCGGCTTCAATAAAATATGAGCTATTGAACATTTTTGAAAAGTTCCCGTTCTGAGTTATTCTATATTCTATGATTACATTAACGTTGATGACGAAACGGTTATATTTTTCGTAACGTCGTGAACACTCTAAACGTATTGGCGCAAATCAGGGTGAAATTCCCCTGAAACTAAGACTTCGGGTTTTATAGCTAAAAGGAAGTACACACTCGGGTATCGCCATCTACCTGTTTCAAAATTAGTTATTCGTGCATTTAAATAGTAGGCATAAAATCGAGTGTGCCCGTACCGATCTCTCGCTTCGGACTTGACGGCGCGGCGCGCGACTCGGTTTTCCCGGTTCGTCCGGGACAGTAATAAAGACAAACGCACCGCGACATATTGTGTGTGTGCGCGCGTTTGTGTGTATGTGTAAGTGTGTGTTTGTGTATGTGTGAGTGTCCGAGTGTGCGAGTGTGCGAGTGTTGCGGACTCGCGTCGGTGTATCGTATCGTTACGAAACGCGGCTAATTATTGTGGCGCGCGCGCTAGCCAATAATCGCCGCGCGGCAGTCATTTTAATAACGTCGCGCGATAAATTCGCCCGAGCGTCTAATTAATTAGGCGCGGGCGTGACGGGCGCGCCCCCGGACGATCGGGACGGCGCGCGGCTTTTCCGAAGCTTATCTCGTCCGGACGGGCCGGTGCGCCCGGGCGCGTTTTTCGGCGGCGTGTCGTATTATACGTACGGCCACCTACGTATACACACACACACACACGCACACGCACACGCACACGAACACGCATACGCACACGCACACGCACACGCACACGCACACGCACACGCACACGCGCACGCACACGCGCACGCACACGCACACGCACACTACGGACGCAATACTGGGCCGGGTGTACGGAAAGCGGCGGCGGCGGCGGCGCAAACCGAAGTGTAGAATATTGCCGGCGCGCTCGCGAACGCGTGTACATTATGCGCGCGTAACCGTCGAAGAAGTTGCCGTTAATTAACACGGCGACGCCTCCGCCGCCGCCGCCGCCGCCGCCTCGCGCGGATTCCGGGGATCTCTTTGATCGCGCCGCGCCCCGTTCCCGCGCGCGCCGCGACCTATTAAGCTAATTGGATAGGTTTAACGGAACCCGCGCCTGCAGTCGGTGTCGCGTCATAGTCGCGATAACGTAGCGCACGCACGACGCGATACGGTGTTTCGAATGTACAGGCGATTAGCGCGACGTCGTGCCGCCGTCGCGCACCGTGCCCGTAAGATAATGACGCGCCGACAACGGTCGGATCGGAGCGCGATCCGGACCCGGACGGAAGTGGGAATTATAATTGGACCCGTCCCGATTGCCGAACCCGATACGAACACGAGACCCGTGTGCCGCATGCACCGGCCACGGAAGAGCTGTCCCGGTGTGACGGGGGAACGGGTGCGGACGGGACGTCGGGCTGGATATCGGCGCGAATTCGACGCGTGTCTGCGCGCGACGGTTAAACATCGCGAACGTGAAAAACGGTTCCGAACGGGGTCCGGTCGACAGTGTCGATTCGTCAACAACGCCCGTGTCACGTTACGGTGAAATAGATTGCATACGCACATTAAACATTTTCTTTGAGAACATTCGTTTGTACATTCTTTTTTCCCGGTTTTCCGAAAGTTTTGGGAATATCGAAAAATTACCACCCTCGAGTTGCTGTTAGTCACATAAATAAACATCATTGTAAAACCAATGCGTTAATCTAAAATTGTTAAGACGTGAAACGTGACGTCGAACGCGAATACTCGTAAACATAAACGAATATAGATAACGAATCATTAATAAAACATTGTTTTTCTACGGAGTATCGACGCACACGGTAGTAGAATACAAATACACTTTTAACGCGATGTACTAAATAACAGGTTTCTCGTGCATTCAATTCAGTAGACTCACGGGTCGCGATGTCCAGCCATCGTATTTGTTTTTACGTAGTAACCTTTGACCAAGGTTGTTCGACTGCAATACATTTCGGTACTAATATTGCCTATACAACGCGCCGACGTATTTAATAGTATTTTACTATTCTAATCAGTCGCTGCGTTTTATAAAATATGTTTTTTTAGTTTGATATAAAAAATATAATATTCGTATTACTATTGAATACAATTTGAGTTCAATTAATGAACTTAAGATTTCCGGGAATACGATTTGTCCTGGACACGAGTATTATATGCAAATCGAATTTATATTGAATACGGTTCAAACTTGTCAAAATATCGACAGTTTTCCAAAAATAAAATAAAAATTGCTTTTAAAATCAACAAATCAGATATTTCCCCTTAGACGTATTATTTTTAAATTTCGGGACTTGTTTTTGTTCAGGGTTTTAAATTAATTGTTCTAATTTGATAAACGCAAGTTCAATAATTGCGAGTCAGTATCGATGAACGGTTGCACTTTCATATAATCAATATATTTATTTACTTTTAGATAATTTAAAATTATTTTTCAGAGTTTAAAATCAAATTAAGTTCCGTACAGGCATACTTAAAAAATATAAAAAATAAAATACTACACAATAAACTTTGTATAGAAAATAAATTTCTATACACGTGAATGAACACATCAAGTGTATTTTTTTCTTTTATCTGATTAATTTTGAGAACTCCTACTTCGTTTTTTTTTTTTTTTTTTTTTTTTTTAGCCGTAAAAAAAAAAAAAAAAAAAAAACTAATCATAAAGATTTTCAAATGGTGACTAATACTGGTTCTGTTGTATAGATAATTTTATAGAGAAAGCTCGTCACTCATTATTTTGATTGTACACATGCGCTATCACTTATACCGAAACGCTTCTAATGTATTCGAGGCCTTATCATATTGGATTTTCAAAGAAAGAAAACACTGGACCTATCGAAAGTTTATTTCTGCAGATTCCGCCGAATAGTTTATTTGTTTTGAGGGCCATTATTATATATAAACTCTCAAAATGTTTCATCCGGCAATACTTTGTCTACATGTCTACATGGACGATTGAACACGGATATAGTTGATATATACTTACTTTAGTGAGGTCGTTTTACGACTTTCCCAACACTTTGGACTTTTTTGTAAGAAGTGTTTGAACAAAAAGTAGCGAATAATTTCGTAAAAAAAAAAAAAAAAATGGGGCGGATTGTAGAAATGTACAGTGCACATCGGTTTTTTACCGAAATTGATTTCGGTTATTTAAAAATTATGCTGTGCCGAGTTTGGTTCAAGGAAAATCGCGTTTTTCCATCGTATACGATGCTATTAATTCGACGGGTTCTCTTTTTGATTTATTTATACGAGAGTAAATTAAATTTCTGAGCCTCAACAGTAGGTGGTATTTTATAGGTAAAAAAAAATTAAATATAAAACCCTTAATAATTTTACTACAGAATTTATGAACTGCCTAATCTTAAGGTAATTAAAATAATTTACTAACAATAGTTTTACACGTAGATTAATGTAATATTTTATAACTCACAATTAAATCATGGGATACATGTTATTAAGTAGGGGAATAACGGTAATTGTCCATTTCCGAAAATCTCATTTTGCACGCAAACCTTTTATAAACGTATGTTAATTACATTGGTAAACAATTTTAAACGAATTTAGGAATCTAGTACAGTGTAAAAACTTAAAAAATAAATCGAATACTTTTATCAATTAAAATGAATAAAATAAAATAGGAAATTTAATAGAGCTGTTGGAGTAATATATTTTTCTAGCTTTTAGACACAAAAACCCAACGGAAACAAGTTAAAATGGCATCTTGGTATTAACAGAAGAGATGAAATAATATATTAGCTCAAACAGGAATGTAGGACATATTATAATAAAATCATTTAACGTAAAACGTATGGACATCTTATCAGTAGGCCTCAGGATTTTATATTGATGAATAAAAAACAAGTTTATCTAAATACTTATTTATGGGAAAATGTTTACTTATCTAGAAAATTTCTAAAAAACAACCAATCATCAACATTTTAAAATTGAGATTTAGGTTAACTGGGTAGAAAATATCAGATTGCGCATTTTGATAAAAACAATCATAACACTATTAGAGTGTAACGTTATTTATAAATGTTTCATAAACGTACTGAATGAATCTACTTGATTATTTTATCATAATATCACATATTATGTATTGCTGATGAAGCATCACTATTAACTGAACACCGCTCCGAATCGTTTTTAGTAAGAAATGGTTGATCGTTGATTACAGATACAAGAAATTTCTTTTCTATAATCTAAACTTCTCAACTATTCAACAACGGTGAATCATCATAGCCTACACGTAACATACTATTAAACAGAGAAAACATATTGATCAATCTCTATTTGTATTAAAATACACCAATTAGTGTAAATTGTTCACATCTTTGTAAAACCAATACATTCTTCGCTACACTCATAAATTCAAAGTATAAAGTACGTTGAAATAAATAATATGATATACCTATGCATATTGATGATTAAACATTTTATAACATATTTATATATTTTATATTGTATAGAGAATCAATGATCATTTTTAAATTATAATTGTTCAATAACAGATTTGTGTGAAAACTAATAACTGTTTTGGACGAAAAAGAAAACAGTTGATTATGTATTAAATCTACTAATAATGTAATCAATGCTAAGATTTGTCTTATATAATTATTATATTTTGCATTAATTATTCCGTTACATTATTTCAACTTTATTTTTTTTTTAATTTTACATAAAAAGTACAGTAGCATTTTTTTTTTTTATTATTATTATTATTATTTTTTTTTTTTTTTTAGCATTTCAATAATCGGATAATTTCCAACACAATCTGCAGCAGAGTGTTTAGTTAAATAATATTAATAATAATAAAATATTATATTATAATCGTGGAAAAATGGCTAAAATACAGTTTTTGTACATGATAAAATTATGCAAACGGTATAAGAACTTTGTAGTCCAATTGTATTATCGTTTGTCAAATTTTTGATACCGTCATCGCTTGACTAATAATTTTTAAGTTAACTGGTCGAGCGTATTTTCCAACACCGAATTCGAATATTATCTCCCGAAATTATTATTATAAATAACTATATAAGTACTGCAGCAGTTTTATTTCGAAAAGACGCAACAGAAAACCCATTAGAAGAGCAGAAGAGAAGCTGCGCAGATGTTACTACACTACGATATTGTTTTATAATAGTGTCACTTAAATATTGCACCAGATGCTAAAGTATTATAATATTATATAATTTATTGTTTGAAAAGAAAAACAACCTATAAAATATATATTTCCAAGACTTCACACTTTAATACCTTAATAAAATATGTAGTTTAATTTTAAAAACTAATTTCTAATATAAGAATATTGTCACATTGATTTTTTAATTCACCTAAAAATTCAATTCATCTTGTATATTTCGGTATTTGACGTTATGTAAACTAGAAAAGACGGACTAAATAATATGTACATCTCATCTTGGAAAACTACAGTAGGCAGCAAGTTGGGAAAACATGGGATATTATGATAGGTAATTAAATACATAATATATTATAATATACTGAAAGTGACTATGATACACTGTAATAAAAAAATTTAAAAAAACCATGACCAGAACTCCCTTGTAGCCTAAGGAAACCCAGAATTCGACTAAAAATCGACATTTGTTGTGTTTTTATTTTTTTAGAAAAACTGCTGAGCATCTCAAAAAATATTTTGTGCAAAACATTTTTATACTAAACATGGCTTTGATATTGGCACATTATCGTAAAGGATTTGAAAATCTGAAAAAAATCAGTTAAATAAACTTATAACTAATATTAATTAGTGTTTATTTTATTGTTAATAAGTTAAGTTTTCCGGAAATTACTTTGATATCGCGTTTTATGAAGTATTAAAATTCATAATGATATTATATTAATAATAATGTTCTAACAAATAAAAACCAATACAAAATATTTTGATTTCTAACTATGACCATGGTTTTGTCTGATTTTTAGGTTATATAATTAATTCCAACACCTAGACATAATTAAAAAAATTAGTATAATGCGCATTTTGTATTCGAACAATAAATGAATAAATATCTGTTTTCGACCAAAGTAATACATTTACAATCGTTTGGGAACAGAACACGTCTTGATATGTATTTTATTTATACCTCTTCTCCCCTATCACTCTTCCCCCCTTTTTTTTTTAACAAAAGTGTCATAAATATTTAAAGAATATCAATTTCTTGCAGGTGTGTCTTCCCGTCGTCGTTGTCGGTTATTGATATACGAAACCGAATATATTTGTGTTGTTTATGAGTATCTGTGTGTGTGTTTTTTTTAATGATTTATCAAACATTTTGTTGACATAATAATGATTTTTAGTATCATCCACAAGTAGGAAGAAGTTTTCAAACAAAAAAATAAAAAAATAGTGACCAAAAAATATCGGATAGGCTCGTTAAAAATATAACAACGAAAAATGAAATCGTGTTCGATATAAAGTACACAGTCAGTGTATAGCTTTTTTTTTGAACGATTCTGAAATAATAATTTTTTTATAATTTTGCAATAATTCAATTGCAATTTTGAAAACGTAACTATCATCTGGACGTTTTTATGTTTACATTTTGTATCCAATATTAATCGATTAACCGTTTATAATAATAATAACAAAAATGTAAATCTTAAAATTTAAGAGAAGGTGTGGAGTGACAGAAAGGGAAATAATTTTTTTTGTATTTATTATGTATATTTTTATACGCCATTAATTGCTAACACGTTTATTCAATATTCTCGGGTATTACATTTTAAAATATTTATTTGTGCTCATCGTGATCGAAAAGAAAAATTAGTATATGATTTATAGGGAGATGAGATAATAGCTGGCATAATTTGTTGTATCGATTTTAAAAAAAACAATTTGAGGTAAATAAGTATAAATATTTTTCACACTATAATAATAATAATAATGAAACGATATAAGAAAAGAGGTAGTCCCAAGAATTAAGGAAAACCATAAATTTCAACAACACTGATAAGAGTATTGAAAAAATAACAACAGTTCTATACTATGTTTACCTGAATACAACCTGCAATTGTATTAGATGGATCTAAAACTTGGCCACCGAGATAAAATATGGTTAAGCCAAAATCTAAAACTATATGTAAATGGCTAGACCAAAACCAAATAGGAAAAATATCTTTGCCAAGGGCAAGCATAAAGGAAGAAAAGACGTAGTAAAAATAATGTGAAAGCTTTGGGATGTAAATAGCATTTGACGATTTTTACGATGCATGTCCGGATGCGAGGAGAAATAATAATATATTCCTAGCACCTAGACACTGATAAAACCAAAATTATAATATCGTATATCGTAATTTAAATTATCGCAATTTTAGATTCTACGTGTAACGACCAGAAATCTTGCTCAAAAATTTACTCGTGGGTCCATTTCTAAAAGGGAAATTTGTCCAGATAATATTTTTGAGAGGTCATTTTTTAATTTTCCATGCGGTTTTCATAATATTTAAGAAAAACTAGGATTGAACATAATAAAAACCGGAAATTCACGAAAATTATGCTTTAATTATTTTATTATTTGTTGTAATTCAGTAAAATATCCATCAAAAGATTTGAAATTTGGAAAGAGAATTTATATTTGTGGACAAATGTTTGAAGCATTTGGGCCATTTTTAAGCTTTTAAAACTATTTTTTTTTAAACATTTTCTTTAAATTCATCTAAAAATATACGTATAGAGACTATGGACTTAAAATTTGAAAAGAATATTTATATTTTTCTTTTGTAAACGAGGTAAAATTTTAAAATTATTTTCAAGCAATATAAAGATATTTTAATTTAGCGTTTCATACGTAATTTTTATTCGATAGGTCCTCTGTGGTAAAATGGTTAGACTTAATATAAATGCTTATAAATTTAACAAAAGATTCGATAAGAGTCTTACTTTGTAGTCAAAAAAAGAAAATTTGAGTTTAATGTCGTGTATATTTTATAATAGAATTTTAATATCAAATTTCGACGAAAATCGTTAAGTAAAAGTTTATGGGGAACAAATCTAAGTTTTCCATATTTGTTTTTTTTTTTTGAACATGTGTATTATACTGATTTCAGAACGATGGAAAGCTTAGAATTAAGTGAACTATGTTTCGAAATAATAGCTTTTTAAAATTCTGATATTATGCGGATACTATTTGTTATGTTAAATAACTAAACATTGTCTCTAATATGTTCGTAGTAGCTAAATGGTAATGCATATCTATTTTCATCCTAGAGTTTGTGAATTTAAACTCATTTTTCAAAAAAAATTGTTTGCATTTATTTTCTCCTTTTACCTAAACAAGTAAAAAAAAATACATTTTGGGTGCATCTAGGGACTTAAACCATCATTCGCTTGGATTATCTTAATCGCAAAATACTCCTCGTTTTTTTGTGCAAACTTTTCTACCAAATTCTTGCTCCGATGTATCAAGTGTAGCTTATTTTTTAAATAAAATTTATACTCCATGGTAACTTTGGGTGGTAATTTTTTTATTTTTCCAGAAGTTTTCCCAGAAAAATTTGAAAACCCGAGAAAAAAGCAGGAAAATCGGTACAATATTATACAAATATTAAAAAATATATATAATGCGAATTTAGTTTTATTTAAAATAATATGACATATCTGTTGTTGACAAAGCATCACTACAAACTGAACTACGCTCAAAATCATTTTTTCGTTATCAATGGTTTATCGTTGTTTAGAGATGTACATTAAATTACCTATAACAATGGCTGCACCCAACCCCATTATCCTTGGAACTCTTTTTTTAAAACTATTATTCTACATAGTTTTTGAAAATTTGTAACTGAAACTAACATGAAAGTAGAACTTCGCTTGAAAACGTTAAAAAAAAATAAAAAATCATTTCAACATACAGGATAATCATATCACTTGGCCGGAAAGATACCGAACAAAATCGTCATTGCTGTGCAATACGAGGAGGTACCTGCTAAATTAATATGTTATAAAAACACGTACAATTATGTTTAGATAATGATGAATGACCGGAAGTTATTTAGCTAATTTCACGGTCATATTAGGTAAGTACGATCGATAAAATATTAAAATATAACGGAATGCGTGTACTGTGACTTACCGGAAGTGTTTTAATTATTGCCCGTCTATTAATAGCAGGATCAAAAACGTTTATGAAGAAAATGCCATTGGGGATTTATGTGCTGAAACGATCATCGTAATCCCAGGCTATAATCTATACCGGTACCAATATCGATATATAATGTGTTTTAATGAAAAATAAAGAGAGAGACAGAGAAAAAAACTTAACTGGGTAACGAAAGAGTTAGCATAAAATAATTGCACTATGAAAGAAAAATAAAACGAAATATTATATGGAAGAAGCATAACGCGGTATAAACATATAATGTGTGTGTTCGCGTTTATGGCTACAAATATGATTTTATCGTCGAAAAGCACCATACTATAAACTTTGCTTAACGTAAATCAATCGGTATAATATACAGAGTAATTGAATTTTTGATACATGCACGTTCTATGTTAATATTAGGAAAATTACATTTATAAATGAGGATCTATTGCGCATCCAGCCCCCAATCATTTATTGTGACGTGAACATTTTATAGTTTTTCATTGGTTTGATCGTTCGATAAATAGAACACTGTATCAGACAATTGATAAAAAAAAAAAAACTGGAGTAAAATAAAACTTAAAACAACTAATCGAAAAACTTAAATACCTATAAATAACTAAAAAATCAAGCGGAATTGTTTGAAAATCCTACCTCGTCTAGAATGTGGCTGATCTTATTATATTTGCTGAAACCGTTAGACATCTACGATAATTTATAATCGATATACGATACAACAAATCAAAAATATTAAATTTATTATTTCCATAAATTTTCCCGCTTTTCTGGCGCCTTTCCCCGATTATTAGGTAAAAAAATTATCCTAAATTTATTAAAAAAAAAAAAATATTAATCACTGTATTGATATTGTATATTGTGTACATTTGCATTAAAATCATTTGTACACAGTTAGGTACCAGTTTTTTTCAAAATTCCGAGCGAAGTATGATAATATTATTCTCCGTTGGCAAGCATTTTTAATGCGAATAGCAGATATTCAAATAAAAAACATGATTGTTAATATAAATTTGAATATATTGTAATATGCAGTTTCATTACGTATTCGATTCAGAGCGTATCAAAATAACCATATTTAAGTACTCGTTTTACAACGTTAATTTTAATAATATATCAATCTAAAGTTTTATACATTTATAACTTATATTACTTGTATATTGTACAATTTTTTATTAGTATTGCTTTTGTGAGGTTTTTAATTTCTGGATTGCATTGATTTAAGAATATTTCTGAGTTATTCTGTGGGATTATCATGAGTTAAATTATGTACGGTATATTGCTTTAATTCATTTCGTTGTCGAATAAAGTTATTCACACGAATATATCATTTTGAAGTTGATAACAATTTCCCCGCACTTTTATTAATACTTAAAAATAATAAAAATAAGGTATTTTAAAATAAGAACATGCTTTCAAAATTCCAGTATAATGTTACATTTGTTTTTAAATCGTTTAAGATCTTCGTCTTTTAATAAGCATACGAAAAAAAATGGTTTGTCGTTTTTCTGTATGAAAAAGTACAGCTGTTAATTATTTTTTTTTTCTTTTTCGAACTTACGTTTTAACACTATTTTAAGAATTGATATCGTAATTAATTAACAAAATTGTGTATCGATAAAATAACAAAATATTTTATATAAAAATTAAGGTGTTTACAACATTACTTTTCAACGTGGATCATTATTAATTTGTATAATACAAAAGTAAAGATAAGATCAAATAATATAAAATGTATTTAAATATATTTTGGCTCTTGATATCATTGTTCCTTGTATCATATGAAGTTTGTGAACATATCTATATTAACTCCTCTCTTGGTATTTTGTATACAGAAGTCGTAGAGTGTCCCACGAAAATACACCCATTGAAATATCACCCGAGATAATATAGATAATAAAACTGTTTATTTTTTTAATACTTACAGCGATAAGAACTATAAATATTTGTGTTTAAATTTAATTTTTATATTTTGGTAAAAAAAATTTAATAAAAATAATTTTTTTAATTTAATTTTGTTTGAAAAATGTAAAGTTTGCCATTTTGTATAGTTTATTTTTCCATACATATTTTGACGTTAAATTCGTGATTTTTTGAAATTTAGCAAAACAAAAAGTGTATTTACTGTCACCGTTATCCATAATAATAATAATAGTCAATTATAGTGAACACATTATTATAAGTAATCGGAATAATAATATAACATAATTATTATTATCACGGCACATATCGACTATACTTTTTTTTTTCCACTGAACTTTAAACAGTTTGAAAGATGGAACACCTGTATCATAATATTGACAATATTAAGGTTAAAATAGATCAATTCTACCATTACTTAATATGACAGCTATATGATTTGCTCAATGTACAGAGTCGTATGGAGGTGTATATGAGTATTATTACACGATATGGCGATTTTGACATGTACGTTTCTAATTAGTAATCGTTTTGTAAATTTAGCTTTCCAGATGCTTGGTGAATACAATAAATATACGCTTTTAAATCCAAAATTCCTATGACACTCCTGCCTCGTTAAAATCGAAATAATTATTGGTGGGGCTAAAAACGGACTTATATAATAGCCCCGTTACGCTGGCGGCCGTATATTCAATATTCGACGTATTCATTACATACAGAAGAATAATAACATTTTGAATATGTTTTGAGAACAAGATCATTAAACGATTCTAAAACAAATGGAATAAATTCTAAATCTATTGTACTCGAAATGTTGGTAGGCAGGCACGGCTGTCTTGAACCGTGGTACAAAAAATCTCCCTGTATTTTCAGTTTTTTTTTCCAAGTTCGTGTAATACACGAAAAATAGATGAACGGGTGAGAAATTCGAGTATAAACGTTAAAAACGTATAATAATAATTTTAACTTTCTTGGATCTTTACTTGAATATCGGTTTATACCCGTTATGGTATTCAAACACAACAATAGTCTACAAGTAAGCTATACACACAATAGTCGCGTAATCTGTATCTTAACATTTTTATTTTTGTTTGTACATGTTTACAATGAATATTTTTTTTGTAGATATGAGAGTATTTTCAATCTTTTTTGTAATACCATAATATGGTATTAAAAACAAGATTTAAAATATAACACACAAAGGAAGTTTTTGATATTTTTAATATGGTTTTTTTTTTCGAATATTAGAAAAATGTTGTATTGACAAACGGAGAAAAAAAAATTGAAATAATGACTTTTACTCAGCAGTATCGGTCTGACTGAATATTTTCGAACATACAATTATTTTAGAGATTTTTAATCACATTCAAATATTATGGTTTGAATATTTTTCGTGAATACAATCTCAATAACGATACAAAATTATTTTAATGAATTTTAATTTCCTAAACTAACTAAGATACTTTATGTAGGTCAAACAACTGATCAGTATATAATTGGGTATGTTTTTGTCAAAATAGGGTATAAAAGTACATTAATAAAATATGTCAAAGATGAATTTTACTTAATACATTTTTATCAAATTAGTTAGATACCTACTAAATTGCATTAATGTATAATACTCTTACACAATTACGAAATACCTACTCGTAGTTCACCAACATTTCCAGTGGAACTATTAAAGATCGTCTTCAATGGGTTCATGAATCATAATGATAATGTAGAGGACGAATTTTAAAATATGGGAGAATACGACATCATTTGCAGAGTAATTGAGCAGTGATCGTTAGGGATTTATGGATATCTTGTTGCAGATATGCTTGTTTATTTAGCGATGGATTTTTGGAATTTTTGACAATTTCCGTGCAATTAAATATTTTTTTCTTGGTCATTGGGCAGCCGAGAATATGAGAGATGAGAGATGAAACTAGGCCAAGATTAACGCAAATGTAAACTCACCGTCTGCACATAGTTCCTAAAATATTGGGGCCTAACATTTAAGGTTTTACTAATTAATGATTGGCAAACATAAAACGTAAATGCACATTGTATTATTTGTTTTCGTTATTCCGGATTTTACTTTTTTAATTATTTAAAATCAATGTAATTTTGAATAAATATTTTATAATTCTTATATTTCACGATTCTTGAAAAACTCATCGGACTATACGAGGTATACGCGTTTCCTAAAAATAATAATATTATGATATTGATTATTCCGAGCAATTTAATTAATTAAATCCGGAGGAAAAAAAAGATTCAAAATTTATATTTAATCTCAACAATAGAGGCGAAAAAAAACCGTAATTTATTCAATATCTTTAATTAAAAATATACATACATAATATTATTATAGCTGCGGTGTCCAGATTTCAGAAAAACCGAAGGTCGCGGCGTGTGAAACGCGATCCTTTTCGAAACGGAACCATAATATTATCAGATCCGACATAATGATATTACATATTATCAATACGCTATTGAATCCTTGTATGCATTAAAATTTTGTTTCAATTCATATCCCTACGTCAAAAGATTCACCCCGGTCGTCTTGAGACTATCTCTATGCGGTCTCCGAGACGATGTAATTAAATTTAGTGACGTTGTCGCAAGAAAAATAATAAATTCAAGCATCTTCCTCTCCCCAACGCAGTGCGGATAGGTGTGGTGGCACACGGAATACGCGATAATATCGTTATAGAGTCAGGTTATCTGCTGCTACGGGGAACTAAAGTTTACATTTGAATTTCAAAAGCCAAAATAAACACGGTGGCGCGGCCAAAGATTTTGCGCACATATTATTATTATCGTCGTATACTCGAATAAAAAATATTTCGGGCGCAGCGGTGCGGGTGCCACGGTGTTGTTGGCAAAGGTCTTTTATAAGAAGATATAAGAATGCGAGCGCGGGAAAACTAAATAATACAAGGTTTTACATGAATATTTACAAGTGACCATCGGTGGCACTATGTATACCTAAGTACGTTTTTGCGCGGTAAGATACCCGTGGGACGCGGCACGTAGAATCCGCAAGAACGACGGGGGAGACGCGGAAGCTCGTGCAGGGGATAGGGGGAGGACATAAAAAGGGTAAATATCTAAATATCCGCTGCGACCGTGGAATGTCGAGAACAAGAGAACGAGCGGCATGTGAATTTATAACATTAAATGAATTTCGGTATGGGTGTAATAATATACATGTCCATATATATATATATATATATGGGGTACCCGAAAGTTGGAGAGAACAGCACAAGTCGACGAATCCCTCCCGAATAGTTACCTTCACGGTATAATTATAAAATAGCGTAAATATACAATAAGCTTTGCGTAACGAGACAATAGAAAACCAATATCATGCATACGACACTTGTGTATTGTGGACAAAATTACAGGTGTCTTTCTAAATCCACCGATGTCCAATCGAAATAATAATATTGTATAAATTCTTAAACAGTATGATATTATTTTATTATTAAATCATGTTTCTTAAAACGTACATATTTTCTATCGTGTTCAGCGTTAAATTTTACTGAATTTTCTTATTTATATTTCGTACCGTGGTTCTTAACTTTTTTTTCTTAGTTACCGTGATTTTAAATTCATTCAAATAATTCGCGGTGCATGTTTGGTAAAAGTATGTACAAGAAAAATGTTGCTATCATAAGATCATTGTCCAGCGCAATCTAAATATTTTGATATCCAACAACCTTTCAAAATATCCGTTTATTTGAATTCAAAGTCGTTACCACAGAAGGCCGAGGATAATTATTGCTGCATCTTGGACCAAACTGATGCCCTCTAAAAAAATTATTAAATGTATACATTTAGTGATATGTTATGATTTAGTAATATGCTTTTAATGTCCTCTCGTCCAAAAATTTTCCCCACGTGATGATTTAATCTATTGAATTTAAAATAAAATAATAATACTAATATATGTTATGTTCATAGATGTAAATATTCTCAAACAGTGTCGTTATTGTGAATTTCAAATTTAATATATCGCGATGGCTCTTTATTATAGTCGTTAAAAATAATTTTAGAAAAAAAAAACGTCACGTCGAAAAACTAGTCTGGAAATACAAAAGATACGAACTGTATGAAAAGGAATATTATAGAAAACTCTTTGAAAAGTAGAAAAAAAATGCTATAAAAAAAGCTAGATCGTTTAAAACGTGAAAGTTTCCGGACCGTAACGAAAACGGGTGTCACCGTTTTTTTGTTCCTTTTATACTAGGTTATTTTATATGATACCGTGAAATATGAATTTGCTATATGTATACGACAGTATCAAATTCTAAGTTGATACTTTTTAATTATAAAAATGAGATAACATTGTATTGTTACTAAACTGGCGCGGTGTTCAATAATAAGTGATCCGTATAAAAGGAATAAAACAATATCTCGAAAATTGTTTACCCGGCTAATCTTCTCACAGTTAAATAAAAAAAAAAAAATTAAAATGCTGTTTAGTTTAGTTTTTTACTTTTACCGTTTAGACAGCTTGATATTTATGGACTTATTAAAATAAATGATTATTTATTTCAAGAAATACATGTTAAAAGTACTTGTAACTTTAACTGCATATGCATAAGAGGTACAAAATTAGTGAAGTAATTTGGTGTTATGATTGATAGATTTTTAAAATGGAATATTTGTACTGGCTTAAAGTTTAAAAAATTTAGGCATATGCTCCATAGGTTTAGAACATTAAACAATATTTAGTCACTTAGCAACATGGGAATGTTTTTCTGTGCTATTGCACAGTCAGTATATTATTATACGTATGGAATTAGAATATGCCATCGAGAAATATTTAAATTTACTCAGAACTACTATAAATTCATTATTGATGGTAGCTTTAAAAAACCCTTTCATTCAAATACTGATATACTATAATATACAATATACAAGCTACAATACATTAAAAAAGAAATCGTATACAAAAAAAAAATACTTAGAAATTTAAATTTTTATAAACTTGAAAGCATCATTTTTGACCACAATTATTCTATTCGTCAAAAATTAAACAATTCATTTTAAACAAATAAATATAATACTGAATTTGGTAATGGTAACCATAGATTTAAAGTTATGCACTTAATATGATATTCCCATTAAACTTTTTTATAACTATAATTATTACAAAAATATGTTAAGTTTAAGATCAAAACGTGTTTGTAAAATCCCGATGTATTAATTCTATTGAATTCAAACATTGCTCTGTTTTGTTTAGTATTATTGTTATTATTATTATTTAGTTACTTGATAATTAAGGGTACATTAATATAATTATTTTAAATTTTTTTAATCTCACCTATAAATAAGAACTGTTGTCTCCTTTGCAGACTTAGGTTAAATTAAACTTAATTAACTATGAATTATTTAGATTTTTGGTGAAATATGTTTCCTTAAATTTATACATTATTATTATTATTACTATTGGCTATTTTTTATGTTTCCACTTAAACATTTTAAAAATAATTTTTTGGAAGTATTCAATAGTAATACTATATAAAAATACTTTTTCTCGGTCGTATGGGGTAGTTAATGCTTTTCTTTAAGGTTTTTTGTGTATTTCTTTTCTGCGGGGGGAATCGTTTTTTAGTTAGTAATAATCATCAGCATTTTCCCCTATGAATTAAAATGCGCAAATTTTATTCAGTAAAAGGTATTTAAATAATTTTTGAAACACAAAAAAATCAAAAAATAATGTGTCTATCCTGGATAGGGAGTAGGAATAAACACTACTTTAAAATACTTTAGTTTTAAAATAAAGCATAAACGTCTGTAAACGGTTCTATCATTGTATAAAAAACCATGTATGATATCGATAAAATTATCAAATGCGACGTGATTTTTTTTTGATTTTTTATAGAAAATCTTTAAATTTATTGTTTAAGAAAAAAATTATTGGATTTTTTTTTTTAAAAAGACCGATTTTATAGATAATTTGAAAATAATATTATAGAGGTATGCATACGCTATATTCGGATAGCCACGAGAGAATAATAAAGTGACAAAATAAGCTCTTGCCTTCTCTTTTTTTTTTTTTAAACGAGGTCCATTTTATAAATTTATAATTACCTACTTCGATTATAAAGGCAATTCAAACGTAATAAATAATATTGTTTATCTATCATTATCATAATATTATAATATAACAAACGTATTATATATTACTTTTATGTATAGTATAAGTAATAAATCGGAAGTCTCGGTCCAATACGGTTGTGTAGATTTTTTTTTCCTGCCTATACAACTTGAATAAATTTGTATTATTTATATGACATAATGTCCGATGATTTAGTGATTTTTGAAATATGGTCATATTTTCAGTTTTTTTTTCGCCATTCAATTTTCACCAATGGTAAATTTGTTGGTTATAACTTATTATGTGTTACAAACAAATGATTTATTTTACGTCATAAAATGGTAAAAAATTCAATAATTTGTAGTATATTTGGATCATTTTGAGCTAATTATGCAAATGTTGTACTTGAAATCAATCAACTGATCTCTGCTCAGAATCGTTTTTGCGTAAGAAATGGCTTAGCATTGAGCACAGATATACACTAAATTCCCGTTTCTATCCTACCTTCTCAACTTCCCACGTAAACTAGTGGCTACACCTGTCCCTATTATCTTACCCTTTTGTTTTTTAAGTTTATTTTTACATGGTGTATGACATTATATTTACGCATAGCGTGATAATAATCATATTACTCTGTAACGTGATACGAAAACTAATAAGAAAATAAGAAGTAGGTTTATATATATATAAATAATATACTACCTTACACATTTAATGCACAAAAAATTATTATATTGTTTATTTATCACAAAAAAACAAAAAAGCATGCGTGCAGTTAATTCTATGTTGTCGAAAAAGTGAAGAATATAATATATTATGTAGTGTGGCTAGGTAGTGTTTATTTATTTTTTTTTTTTTTGTACCTGATAACAATCTTTTTTTTTGTTTTGAAAATTTTCAGTGTTAAATTAACGTGATATACATAGAACATTTATATCAAGAAATATCTGAAAGATACAGGAGAAAAAGGGAATTGTCCATTTTTTTTCATTTTTTTCAATTTTTGAATTGATTTTGTTTAGCTATTAGTGATTTAATGTATAATCCTAGGTAGGATAATATTAGGTAGTAAATGACCTGATGTTATGCCGTCTGTTTAACCGAGTTACGAAAAACATACGTATTCTGAAAGTATATTGTTATCAAAAATAGTGGTCAACATTTTGTGTATGATATTTTAGAGCATGTTTATCGAGTTTTGGGTGGTTTCAGGGATCCATTTATTTAATATAAAAATATATAGCGTGTCATAGATTTAGTATTTTGCATTCGTTTCTAATAAAGCGTTTTGTTTTCTTTTTTTCTCGTATATATATATATTAAAACCCGCAAACGCTTAAAATATCTAGTACGATGCGATATACTCATGCCACGTGCTTGTTTATTTTATCGACCACTATATATATATATGTACATTATTATTATATGATATATCCGCGTGAGTTTGTTATTTCGGCCGGGACCCTTTTTGACCAAAACGACCCTTTTTCGATAAGGTTAGTTTAACCCACCGGAGCCTAAAACAATTTTCGTCAGTAAAGTTATATTATATAAGACTCAAACGTTGTATATATATTATGATTTCGTTTTATATTGAATTAAAAACTCTTCAAAGATTCACTCTGGTTGGTTAAAATAGGAAGGTATTATATAGTCGTTGTTTTTTTATGCGATTTATTAGAAAAATATAACAAAAGATCATAAGATTTTCATTTCTATTATTAATATTACTTACCTTGTTGTAATAATGTTCTGTGCAGAGTGATCTTTTTTTTTATCATGATCTAGCAAATGTTTACCACAGGTTTTATTCGATTTTAATAAAATTAGTATTATATTTTTTTTTTCTATCAGTCATAATATACGTTCCATTGTTTTTTATTATGATCTTATTTTTACATTATTTTCAACATTTTACCCTTATGCTGTAAACTATACACAAATGTTTAAGGTACAACATGGAAATATTTGATTTTAAAATAATAATAACAACTTTTAGTTTGCAATCTATCCAAGAAATATTTATCTATAAAAGTTGAAACAATATAGAGAATATTAAAATTAGATTTATGGTTTGTAAGTTACGATGCAGTTTAAAGTATAGAACAGAGGAACGGGAGGATATATTAGTATCTATAAATCAATACGAAATAGTGCTCAAATAAATCAAAACGTAACCAATCATATAATTTTATAATGATTAAAAAATAAACAAATATGACTTATTTAAAATCTCCGAGACGATCATTGAGTCATGATTTCACTCTGTATAAAATAAATAAAATGTTACTTGTTTGTGGACTAAAAGATGTATGAGAAAACAAAAAAGATAAATTATTGAAAAACGTATCGTATGCGAACAAGACGTATTGAGAACGTTTTGATATCGTATATAATATTATTTCTTTAGTAGTATTTGTTTTTTCATAAAAAAAAATGTATATATATATATATTAATAGAGTAAGCGAAAAACAAGATCAATACACCATATTTTAGTAATATATTTGTAGAAAATGTTAAATGTGCCACGAATATGTTTCGAGTACATTTTCCATAGATTATTAAAACAAAAAACACAGCTACATTGCAGTTATAGGCCAAAGGATAAACGAATATTATTTTAAATATTTTAAATATATAATATAATACGTATACTTCCTTGTGATATTGAAATTTATCACTGCACAAAATGGACTTTTATTGGGTGTGTATGCGAATAATAATAATAATAATAAAACACCGCGAATGGATGTAGAAAAAAACACATAATATGTGAAAACGCACAAATATTTTATTCGCGCACACGTATAATGCAATAAAAAGCATATAAAAATGTGCGAAGCGGAATTGAATGTAAAGGAACAGTGCTGCTGCTGTTGATATAGCCGCTGTGCGGCGTATAAGTCTTGTAAAATAAATTCAATACTAGGACAACACTACGATAAAGAATAACCTTTAATCAGATGGATATGTATTATTCAATAATATTATACGATGATGTGGACGACGACAAAGGAATAGGAAATCGAATTCGGGGAATACAACTTACAGCTGCTGCTCGAGCTACTGAATAATTTCCGTAAAATCCAAAGATATATATACTTAATAATAATAATACAGAAAATGTAATATTATATAGTATTTTATTGAAAATCGAAACGCTAGTAATATTCGAATAATAATTGTAAAATAATAGTGGAATGAGGTCATTGAACCGAAACGTTTCCGTCCTGCTCGACATCGTGTCATGTACTGAAATTGAATCATAATTTTTTTTAAAAAAAATCTCTGCGATTTGAACAAATATCTTGGGGGTTTTAAGATAATATGATGAGAAAAAAAATAATCCAAACGATTAAACATCGCCAATATTTATGAACTTAATAGAGACAAGTATATATAAATGATAAAAACGTGAATGGGACGTCACCAAGTGAAAATCGTAAAAATCATTGGAATTTCCTCTCTGATTTTCAATTGTTTTGGTACAATAAAAAAATATCGAAAGTTTGAGACCAAAAACACTGACAGTTTTAATTCAGTGATACAAAATGATATCATTTTAAATTTAAGTAATCAAAACATATTTACCCTAATTTTATTCAGAATCGGTATATTTATACAAGGATTTTTCATTGCGTATAAATATATAATAAATATTATCCTACACAGAATGATTTTTGTTTTTAGATTTTGAATGTAACGAAGAATGTATCGATTTCATTTTTAATCAGTTTGTCTTTAAGGGAGACATCTATTTGGAGCAAAATTACATTTTTATTTTCATCCCCTAAACACTTCCCCTCTATATGTTACCTTCTAAACTTCTCTCTAATAACAGCAGCTGCATCTGTCTCCATTATCCTAGGACAATTTTTTTATAATGAACCTGCAATAAACTCTGAGGAGTTTAAATGAATTTGATATCTGTTGTCGGCTACTCCTTCGGTCTAAACTATAAGTTCAATAATTGGTGGGTTCACTAAAATAAAAAAAAATTAAAAAACAAAGTCGTCCCTATTTTACGATAATTTGTTATAGTACTTTCGTAAAAGGGAGACAGGTAGACCGCAAGCATCAAAGAAAATATTCTAAGTATTCTATGAAAACAGGGAATAGCGTAGCTTTCTAGTAATGAAATAATTTTTAGAATGGGATTAACAGTTCCAGAAACTACTATCTATAGTATAGAATCTATACACACATATCTACGTAAAATTTTTACACCTTTAAAATATTTGACTTTACATGTATTAGGTCCCTTGACTTTTTTTGTTTACTGCCCTCGAAGTCATTAATTATCCTCTGATCATTACGCTCATATAATGATTATAACAATAAATACTCGCGCGAGCGTAAATTTGCGTAATAATATCTGAGTATTTCACGTTTTTAATCTGCGATCACAGATGTATATTTATAATCTTCTGCAAGTTGGAGTGTCTATCCGTATTGGATTTTTGAAATCATAGCTCATAGTTTTTCTTTATAAAAAACTGTGAACCATTTGTACATTTCAATGTTTCGACGATTATAGTTATAGCTCAAAAACTAATATAGATCGACTATAGATATAGATTTCACTAAAAAATATTACTGTTTGTTTTTTTTTTTTTATCCTTGGAGTATTTATGAAATATTTTAAATGAGAAATTCAACTACTAAAGTGGAACTTACATAGAACATTTTTCCTTGGAATTGAAAGTTATTCTCTTTTTTTATATGCCTGCATACATTAAACATCTAAATTGCTAACTGCCATACAACACGTATGGTTTTGGTTAAATCAGCTATTTAGCTTGAGACCCACGACCTTATTATTTTATATACTTTTATAATGTAATAACTAAAACAATTGTATCTGTAATTGTATATCATTGTTATCGTGATGACTGCCAAACAGTATATTGTTACTAATCTTATACAGATATAACGACAGGCACTGCAGACATCACGTTATATAAGTGAATTATTAGTCTCACGAGCCCAATTTACACCATTAACCATAGTTTATTATAATACATGTTTGGATTTTCGGTACTACAAGTCTTTTTAATAGTCAGTTTTGACGTTCCAAAAACGTAGATATCGACGATCAGTAGCTATAACCCTTTCCTCTCCTCTCCTCCTAGAAACCTAAAAATAACCAGTATTTTGTTAAAAATATACTCCGTGATTTTCATAATATACGTTTCTGTGCAAACACACAATGATGTATCCAGACAACGTTTGAAAATTACACGGTGATGCAGTTTTTCCTCGAGACTACGATATTAAACCAAACATTGGGTTCACGGATCGATTTCGGCCGTTGTCCTTGGTCAATAACTATGGGCTATACGGTATCTGTGATCGTATATATTACGGTTAACGAAGATTCGGTATTATAAAGGACGTTCTCGACCGGATAGATTGGAAAGCTCTCCTCTCATTCGTGCCGCATACAGAGATACTCAAAAACTTCGGAACCGTGCCGAAAAATCGTCGCAGGATGTAAAACAGATCGGGCAAGTGAGAGGTCATTAAACTGGCAACCTTCCAGGAAGCAATCGATTGTCGTTGTTAAACAACTACAGGGAAATTTTCGGATATTATGATACCTTTTTTCTTACGATTCTGATATGCATAACTCATTTATATATGTAAACCATTTCCTACTAGTCCGGTATATAAATTATAAACTTTAATAGTTCATAAATGGAATATACAATTTGATAGTTGTTTATACGAATCGACATTTTTGAAAAAAAGATTTGTTATTTGAAAATAAAAAGTTAAGAAATTGTTGTTTATTAGTAGAGTATAGAACAATGGTAACACTTTGAACAGTTTTAATCAGAATCTTCGTCGATAATCGCTTATATCGTGATAAAAAAAATATCACTCTATTTACGCTTTCCTGATAGAAGCTCTTCTATCGCGTTACCCGCATTCTTTTGTAAACATAATTTTTAATTATTTGCGTATGATTTCCAGACGATTTCCGTCTCCTACTTCTCGGTTCTCCGCCGCACCCTAGCTAAAGCGCACAATTCGATCATTAATCTTAATATTATAATTATAATCTCCGCCGCTATACATATATATATATATATATATGTATATACGAAATGCAAATATTTGTCCAAACGTCTTTGCAAAATATGAATAATGCAATCCAATTAATATTATGTTTATGCAATGGACAAAAAATAAATAAAACAAGTTTCAAGTCTAAATTATTAAATTGAGTTTTTTCCTATAGTTTAATTGTCGATAATACATTCGTGTGGAAATGTAATTTTTTTGTATTAATAATAACGTATACAAATGAAATTTATACAGGAAAACGTATAACTAGTAAACATCATCAAAAAAATCATTTATAATTCATTTGGAAAAGATGAATATTCTTATGTCCAATATGTATTAAATTTACATTGTTGTGATGTTACGAAAAAACTCCTCTCTCCCCCAACGTTACAGAAATTAAACTAAGAACTATTCGATTTTTTTTTTTTTTATTGCAGAATATAAGTCACGATGATGGAAATAATAATATTTGTCATACAGGAAATGAAAATATATTGTTTTCAGGAAAATATTATTCCTGCAGCAAATAATATGAGTACATGTACATGTATAATAATAACATTAAATGATATGCGAGTTCTCATATACCAATAAAACGTATTGAACCGGACATTATTGCACGAGTCATTATTATGAAAATTGCAGAGAATATAATAATTTGTAAATAGTGTATTGGAGCAGTATATTATATTACCCAATGTGAATATAGATAATCATGAGCGAGGACTAGCTGCAGTAAAAGGGATGCTGTAGCATCACATATCTTTAAATTTATTTGCCCCAATTGATATCAATTTGTTTTAATCAATCCACTTAGAATTAATATTTTCTGATAACAATATATAACAGAAGTTATAAATTTAATAGCAAGTTTATAGATTATAAATAAATTGTTTACAACAATTCAATAATTCGTTGATTATTTTTCATAACATAATATTATATAGTTTTTAAACGTGGTGTTATTTTAAAAACATTTCGGCACTATCTGAAATTTTCTATTTTTTTTTTTGAAAAATAAAATAAACATAAAATTCGTTAAAACACAATCAATTACGATTTATTAAATTACTTACAAAATATAATTTTAAATTTAAATTTGTCAAATTATGTTGAACCGAACTTGCCTCAGAATTACTTTTCGTTTACATTTATCGTTGCATTTAAATAAATTTGCTTGTGTATATTATATGTTGCAAACTTACAATAGTGGCCAACCTATAGTGCAAAACATGTCGGTTTTTTAAAATTTGATTTTTTATTATAATATTTGCCCTAAAATTATGTAACATCTCATACTCTTTTTTACAAGCTTTCGCTTGCTTGCATTATAATAACGTTTATGTATACAATTTGAATATAATTTCCGCGTTTCGTCTCAAGTCGTTTATATGTTTATCATATTCTAGATGCAATCTAGCATCAGTAAAAATTTAAATTTAAATTTAAAAAGAAAGAGCTGAGCTGGTGAACGAAAAATATGAACTCAGTAAAGTTAAGTGAAAATTGGAAAAAGTTAATTCGAGTTAATACGTTTTTTTTTTTTGTTTTTTTAAATCATTTGTCTAGTTTTGTCAAAAATGCTTGATCAATAATTTGTGATATTTTTTTTAAATAAAGACAATCAATATATTTAGTACAGACAGTTTATTCTAATCACATCCTTATCAAATCCTTATGCACACACACACGTACACACATATGAAATATTTTGAATTTAATATTATGTTAAAATTAAGTCAATTTAGTGGTATAATATTTAAAATTAATTTGTTGTTTTTTGAGTTTATATAAACGAAATTTGTCTTAAACGTGTTAAATTTTAATAATTAGGTTAGTTAAAAAATCCTCGAAAGCCTACTTATGTATAAGTAAAAAGTTAAACCTAAATTAACAAGTTGAAATGCCTTGCCTTGTAAAATGGTTCCAACACGAACTATAACACGAATATTCTACTGATAGACGACCAATTCCTGCCTTTCTCTCCTTCTTTAGAAACCAAACCACAATATTCTTAGTTCGATTACGCGTTTTCGATACATAAAATAATATGCTTCACACTCGATTTGCCTCCAAGAGAAACTTTTCTAAATTCTCTATTTCCGACGCGTCGATGATAATAAAGATAATAATAATAACCTAGGTAAGGAACAACATCATCTGAACGGGACTTTCTTGTGCACACGACATTTTACAAAACTTTAGATAATTTGGTTCGAATCGAAAGTGTATACTTTTATAATAAAACAGGGATATATATCTAGTATATTGATGAAAACGAAACTCAATATCATCTACATGCTTGAGAAAATTCATTTGGTGGTTCAAGTAGTATAAAATAATATCCAACCTCTTGAACCCCGGAAGTACGAGTATAATACAACATATATATAAATATATAATATTTTTCATATAATTTATTGATTGAACATAAAAAAAAAAAAAATAATAATTATACACAAAAATACAAATAAGCTGTATACCGTACGCGTTAGAAACAAAAAATATTAATATTTATAATTGTTATATGTCTTTGCTAATTATAAAACAAAGAAGTGGCTATACAATTTATTTTCCGAGTATAAGTTCGTATTAGTAACATCAAAATCTGAACTTCAATAGCTTGCAATATACAAATACCATTTAACTTTTAAATTTGTTGTTCAAAACAATAATTATGTATATTTTATTATTTTTGAGTATGAAAAATATGTTTTACTAACTAGGATATAATATAAAAATTAACGAATGAGATAAAAAAAAAATCAAACACTAATGGATATGACGATGACAGGAAGATAATCAAATAAGTTACTATAGAGTAAAAGAAAGCAAGACCATCAGAGGAAATGGTGGTGAGACAGAGTTCAAAAATACTTCATCATGTTATAGGATTACATAATGGCAAATGGTTGCGTACAGAGACGGATGAAGAGGAGTAGCTGAATAGTTTATGTTAAGCCAAAAAAAAAAAAAAAATGGATATATTAAAGAAAAATAAATGATAGATGATAGGGCGTACGTTGAGACATCATGGTGACAAAATAATTATAAAAAAAAAGCCTTATAACAGAAATAATGGCGGAAATACTCGACCAAAAACGAGGTATATCAGCCAAATAACGAAAGCCGCCGGTCCGGGTGGAATTTGTTCAAATTATTTAGAAGGGTTGAAACTTTGGCTTTAATTTTTAAAAGCTTTAATATTTACATGAATAAAATATAACTTAGGTATATAAAAAAAATTATGCATTGTCTTGACATTTAAGTCAAACAAAAAAGGATATTATTTTACATAAAAAAAAAAAAATGATTATAATAACAGACATTGGATAAACATTAAAAATTCGCAATTTGTATTATTATTTGCGTGATTTTTGAAATAGTATAAATTATATAAATAAGTAACTATGAAATAAATTTTAGTATCAAATGTTTAAGCTAAAAACGTTTAATTTGTTTGTACAAAAAAAAAAAATAGTATACGAAATCCATGTTTTTTACGGTTTTCGTAAAATTTTGAACTTTAAACGATTATAAAAAAATTAATTGTGACTAAGTACAAAATTTTTAATACTTTTGTAGTACCAAAACTTTTTGAAAAAAATTGTACAGCATCTAAATCATTTTTAATTGAGTTACAAAGGAAAAAAATCAAAAAGAACTGAAACCGTTTTTCCAAAATTTTTGGTGGATCAGTGAACCATCGAAACTATAAACAAGCAGCCGCTTTCTTCAGCGATAAACGGGTTTACTGATGAACGGTCGATACAATAATCTTATTTTTACTCGAGACGTATTGGGACGTAATCCGACACTCCAGAAAAACTATCATTTTTATAACTTTTATACAACTGTGTAATAATAAATGTAAAACGAGTATAATATTATAGTGTAATAATATCATCGCGAGATCACGTCTACAGACCATATGATACGTGATGATATAAAACGTTTGTGTAGAAGAAAAACGAAACTTTCATATTTCTAATACTTTGTTTTGAGTAGGTGCGTATATTATAAAACGACTTAAATAATGTGATATAAAAACGTTTGTGTAAAAAGAAAACGCAACTTTCGTATTTCTAATATTTTGTTTAGAATACATATATTTTAACCGACTTAAAATATTAATGTATTGCTATTAGCCAATCAATCCGTCCCTCTTTTTATTTCCGTTACTATAATATTAGGTACTCATAATATTAGAATAATTTACTCTTATAATAGAATAATTAACTGCAAAACGCACGTGACTCTAAATCAGGTCACTTCAAATATCCAAACGATGATTAGTACATTCAATAGTGTCTTATTGATATAACGTTGTATATTAAAATATTAAAATTTTTTTATTAATTTTTATAATACGTCACGATACCTAATTTACATGATTGTCTATATTATCTGTCGAAAATATTTAATGATGGATCACTAAATTTCAGAAACATTTATGATCAGAGATTCAATTAGGAAATTAAATAATTATAAACTCTAATATCAATGTAAACCACTTGGCCTTCTCCCTTGACTTCTACCGTAACAATCATTTCATTTGTAGTATAAAAGTTTCAGTTATCACTAGTAAGTAATGAGATTCACGGATAAAGAGAATTTATGTATTTTTGATTAGAATAATATAATATAATATAATATAAATATGTTTGTTATTAATAAATTATGACGACAATCTTTATATACCTATCTATGGTAAAAGAACCTACCAATTTAACTTGGGTCTTTACAGTTAATCCTGAATCAATAACTCCGAATTACCGAAATTAACTGATATTTCGAACGATACCAGAATTTACTCGAGTTACACCAGCTAAAATTAGTTTTATTATTATAAATAAGGTTATCATTGACTACCGTTTTTATTTATTTTTGTTATTTTTAAGTTTTTATTAATTTAATCATTTTAAAACAATCATTGTTATCGTGGAAACGCACATTGTTTTAAATATTTTACCATAATATGGCGTAGTACCATCACTAATTGTATTGCTGACAAAGCAATATTATCAACTGAACTCTGCTCAGAATCGTTTTTTCGTTAGCAATGGTTTATCGTTGCTTACAAATATACATCAAGTTCCTATCAATAGCCTACCTTTTTAAATTTCCACCTACAATAGTGGCTACACCCATGTGCGAAGTGTCCGTTCTTTTTTTTTAATAACACTTACACAAATTATCGAGCTACTCGTTATTATAATAAACTAATTCACCAAAAAAGTACGGATGTTTTGAAATAATGAAATTAAAATTTCCTATGACTACAGATACAATTCTAGTTTCCAATATCATTACAATTTTCGAATACCAATGATGTTGCTGATTATTTTTTGTTTTGTTTATTAAAATAATCAAAACAATTCTGTATTATATAATTATATAATTTTTGGTTTAACTAAAGTAAGTTGTATTTCGAGGTAAAAATGAGCGTAATGTAGTCGATATTTTTTTATATAATCGTTTAAAAACAAATTTTGATGAAAATCATAAAAATCACAGCATTGTAAAACTTGTTAACCGAACTTCACTCAGAATCGTATTTCATCCCCAATGGAGTATTGAGTTTCATACAGATCAAAATAAATAAATGTGTTTACCTATCTTTTTCTAGACTCCCCATCTATAGCAGTGGCACACCTATTAGCAGTATAAACTCTTTTTTTTTTTTTATTTACACTTTAATCTTGTAATTTTTATTTATTCAATTTCCGATTATATATATTTTGTATACATAATTTTTTAACAAACAGATTTAAATGTTTATTCAAATATATTCAACGTACTTTATTAATATTTGTGTGTTTTAAAAAAAAAATCCCAGACCAGACGAACATAAAAATACTGTAATATCTATCGATTTGAAAACTTAAAATAAATAATTCAGTATCTACTTACTGTTTTTCTTGCAGTATAATATGAAAAACTTGAATTTTCAAAGATTACAGTATTTTTTTTATAATATAACTCGCAGCCAGAAATATAAAAACCAATTAATTAATAAAGTATGTTTTCGATTGCTATTAATTTTGTTTTTTTAATATCAATCATCTGTTATATTATCCAATTAAACAAGCATACGATATAAATAAAAACTGCGAATCGATCGGGTTTTTTTTCGTCCATCACTTATTCATTTTTAATGCTATTTGAATCAACAATGATATTAATATTATAATTACGCGCTAATTATTTTACAACTCAAGGATGGAAAAACTTAAGTTTCTCTTTCAACCCTAACCGATTGGTTTTCTATAAATCTTCGTGCTTTTCTTTCGTAAATTAATTCTTTTAAATCCTCTTCATTATTCTTTTATCCGTATTTGTCATAATTTGTTTCACGTATACTGTTCTTGTCCTACCCTTTCCGATTAATGGTTTTTTACGCCCTTTTTTTTTTTTTTTGTCAAATGCAGTCGTTACACATTATAAACACCATATCAATTTGTCCCTTCTGAATTAAATACCGTGTCGTCAACGTTCTTTGTTTTCTGTTCGATACTTGTCTGTTTATTTAACCGTGGTTAATTTAATCGTGATCATTTTTCTGTAGCATCACATATTACAAAATCCTCCAATCTTTTTTTCATTTATGTACTGATAAGTTTTCCATCCATTACACTTCACACATATATACTTGTATTTTCAGGAACTTAATTCTTATCTGTATTTGGTCACACAGCGTGTTATCAGTAAACGACTATTGTATCAGGAAAAACTTCAGATAGATTGATTTTTAACCGTAGAAAAATCTTAACTTATTATCAAGTTACTGTATATGGATTTAATATACGCACAATTCTTAATGATTAAGCGTTGATTTTATCGGAGTTTCGAAAATAAACTTAAATCATATCATAAATAATTATCCAACACAGCCGTAGTTTATATTTACAACAGTCTCGCTAAGTTACAATAACTAATTCGTCCGAATTTATTTGTCAAAATTATTCTCATACTTATATAAAATAATAATGTATTTTCAGTATTGTATAACAAACGTCGTCCGGTAAAACAAGAAGATATTCGATGAAAGTATTGTATGGGATGAAGGGTACTTCTATTAATGATAATAATAATTGCTCGCATTAATTTAAAATTTATTTACATCATATTTGCGGTTTGCGAAAATCGGTCGTATGACAAGTTAAGCTGAATTCCAGATGTTTGATAGTTATTAGTTAGGTGTAGCGATATTCCCATCAATTATTTTTTAGAATATACTAAACGACATCCTGTACCTTGTATGTGGTATTTTATATCATTTTTACGGACTTCATACAGTAACGGCGTTAGGATAATTGGCCAGGGCGGGCCAGTATTGGAGACCGAAATATTAGGACGGACATAGTCACGCGATAATTGCACAGCCGGAGGGAGAAAAAACCCAGACTGCCCCCTTTTGACCTTCCTGTATACAAATTCTTCATAATAATACACATTTTTTTTTTCTAGAATATAATTTCATAAGGTATTTGACGGCGAGGGGGCCCCATTTCAAATTTCAAGTTGCGCTGGCCCCGAGTCTTGGTGACCACATTAATTGCAAAACTTAATTACAAATATTTATTAAAATTAATATTTCCAATATAGGCCAACGGACGGGACAGTGGTTTTCAGGATAGGTTATTGTCCACCCAAGCCCGCTTGCTCTTGATGCTGCAACTAGGATTGTATTTAACACGTGTACGCTGTTTATTGGAGAATATTAAAATTAATTATACAGATATTAGAATTAAACACTTAAAATTAAAAAAAATAAATAATGTATTCATTATTGAAATAAATAAAACTTGTATTACTATAAGGGTTTTAGTCACAGAAAATACCGAATGTAAAAGTTGTGTAAACATTTACCTTTAAATGTATCATTTTTATCATGACGTATTTATTTTTTTTTAAATACTTGAGAGTATACCCAGTCTACCCACGATTGTTTAACAAAATGTTGAGATTATACAGCACGTATAATGTAGTACGCCCCATGGGAACGCCACTGGGCAGACTATAATTTGTTTTTTTCAAAGTTATTTACTATAGGTATCTACTGTACATTGAATTACAATATGATGGCGTGCAAACGACGGGGAAGTTTTTCGCTGGACTAAATTAAAAATGAAAAAAAATTAAAACGCATTTTTCGGTCTGATCGAATCGAGGTATAGGTACAATATAGGTTTCTAATACAAGATATTTTGCGAAAAGAATTAATTAAACGGAGACGTACTTATAATACATAATAAAGAGACGACTTTAATACGGGCCCATACACTATACCGGAATACAATCGCGAACAAGACGATAGGTCGGATGGTTTCGATCCCGACTGAATTCATTTCCACCTTAAGTTTTTATTTTTATTTCATTTTTTTTCGCGCTCTTGTCCTCCGCCAGCGTGCCACGGTGCGAATGCCTCGGATGCTCGAAATTCCCGGCGACTACGACGCGTTCCATATAACGTCTCATTCGTTTCGAAATTCCTGGATGCAGATTATATATATAGGCATACTATAAAAGACGACGACGATTCTGTCGTTCGCACATAATATAAAATCGCCGAAATTCCGTACGGACCAAAAATACTGCGGTGATGCTGGCGACACCGCGGTGGATTAGCCGTGGTGAGAAAAAGTACTCGGGCGTATCGAAAAAACATCAATCAACTCGGGGCTGACAACGACGGAGGCCCGTGTCACTGTAGTGGTGGTGATGGTGTGGCGGTAGTCGAATGTAGGGTGGGCCGCAGATGAGGGGAGGACACCTGATTGGAATACGAATTCGTCTTTGTACTATATATATAAGCTCTCTGGACTTCGGACACGACTAAATGATCAATCTAAAAAAAAAAACGGAGCAAGACAAAAAGAAAAAAAGAAAAAAACTGGGTAAAAACCTCAGGCTTTAATCGTTCGGTGATGGTTAATGACGACGATATTTTTTTTTAAATTATATTTTTACGTGTGTGCCACTGTAAAAAGGTTCAAAGATAATATGTACAGGTTAAATTATGCCTAAATGTTTAATACCCTACACACAGTGTATACTGTGTCCTGAGGTAAACCTGGCCAAAACCCAACACAGGATGGGAGGTTGAAGGCCCTTATTTTAGCGAATATTTTCGAAGTCTATGTCGCAATATTATTTATAGTTTTTTAATAAGTTTCGTAATTTTTTTTTTAGAGACAATCTGACGACTTTTAGGCTGCTTACAATAAGAATTTTATATTTTCGAACTTTTTTCTATAGTTTTTATTTGGTTTCTATTGGTCAAATAAATAAAATTGTTTTGGACTAGCAAAATATCTTAAAAATGAATACAGAGTTCATCATAATTGTTGTTCATACGGTACCTTACAAACATACTGAAACTCAGTATTGTCTCGATTTCTTTTTTTTATGTTCAAATTTTGACGAAAATCACGGCACACATAATACGATTAATCAGTCTATCCCGAGAATAATTTTTTGTCGGAAACAAATTATCGTTGCAAATTTATTTACCTTAACTAAAAAACTGTAGTAGGTACTAGGTATGTATCATACCTTCTCATTTTTCCATATAAAACAGTGGCATACCCATCATCTGCAGATCCCAGCGAGTAATATTTCGAGTTATTTTGATGTGTTTTATTTTTTTCAATCTTTAATATTATACGATCTAGTGAAAATTTAAAACATTGTGTTAAAAATAATTTTAATTGCATAGGTATCTCGTAGATATATTTTTTCGATAGCATTACAGACAATTAAATAATATATACATGTTTTTATTTTTAATAGATTGCGTTTGAATTTTCAAACAATTTTCCCTTTTCTTGATGCTTTCACTAACTGGGTTTTTTTTTTTTCAAACACATATTTAGATATTTGTTATAATTTAAAAGTGTACATGTAAGTACTTGAACGCGCATCAAAATTTTTCGAAACTCTTTAATTACATCAATTATATTATATATATGTGTTTTATCATTACAGATAGTTTACAAAACAGAAAATAAAACACGCGTGAATTGAATATTAACTATTATTTTGTTACCGTTGTGTATGCACTTATATAATATTGTGCAATATAATTATGGCGCAGTAAAAATTTCGTTATTTACCATTAATCAAAATGTGTTACAGCTGTTTATAGTATCACTTTTATAGTTAAATAAAAAAAATTTAAAAAAAAAATGCTATAGTCCTTTAGATTTCAATTAAATACGCGCAGCGAGTCAGTATAGAAGTATTGTATCGTAAACTCGCCGCGTTATTTTGGCAATCCGACTATTATAAAGGCCATTCGCTTTAATTAAGTATATTCGTAAAAATATTAATCTAAATAATCGACTTTTCAATTCAGCTAGAACAAATACACATAACAGAATTATAATAATTCAGAACGTTCAGATTTAGAGACAAATATTGTTTTAGGCAAATGTGTCGATAAAAAGGCTACTTTAGAAAGATCTTTAAATTTTAACCGATATAATAATGACCATATTAATATTTATTCACAAACTACTAAACGTAAAAACTCATTGGCAAAACGTTTGTCGAAATGTTCAACAATTTTAAACATTTGAACATAACCAAAATTGTATTCAGTTTGACGAGTTTTCTGTAAAATTGACAAAAAGTTGCAATTAAATTGCTCATTTATGCAACCGCATAATTAATTAACATTGAGGCGAGGATGGTCAGTGTCCCGATATTTTCATCCGTTTGCTGTATCCTATTAATTATTATATAACTCGTGTTTGTTAAAAATATTTAACGCAGCTATCCCTAATCATAATTATTTACCTACTGATTTTTATCGTGCGTAATACAATCGATTATTTTTTTTAGCTATACAGTTATTTAATAGTAAGTTTCTTATTTCGTAAAATTATGTGCTTTTTTATAAATAAAAAAAAAAAAATTGTGTGATATTATCTACCATGGACAATAATTCTTCACACATACAGATATAATATGTATATAAAAGTAAAAACTACGATAAAACTTTGTTTTGTACATTTGATGTGACCTGCCGTACAAGTGCTCATAAATTACTTCGAGTGTAAACTTTAGTATAACGAATAATGTCACTATTATACACTTTACACGTGTGCGAAATTATTTTTACGTATGGCAAAAATGCGTGTTGTCATCACCGTAGCGTACTATAAAGTAATTTTTAAGTAAACGCGAATTTATCATTGCGTATAGTTTTATGTCGCAGAAAAAAATTGTACCTGTGTTGTGTTAATAGGTACTAAAATAGCATACCTATAATCATTTTACGCGTTTTCCGGTCAAACCACTGAGAAAAATGTAAAAAACGATCATAATAGAATATTAAACTTTTAAGTTTAGATTATACATTTTTATCACGTATACGACACGGTGCAATGTCAAAATATTACTGTGCATTTTTTTACACCCTAATTTCATAATAATTAATATAAACGGTTTTCGTCTCAAAATTATGTGTGGAATATGCAGCGACTGTCGTTTAATGATCGTAATTTTATTTAAATGCACCTTTATTTTGGGTTGAAATAAAAAAAACACATTTTTTTTCTGTTTTAAAATTGTTTTTTGTTTTTGTTTAAAACTTTTTTTTCAATTGTAAAACAATGTAAATATTTTAAACATAGTTATTTTTTTGTTTGTTTTTTGTGAATGTCATATAATAATAACAGTCAACCGTGCATATTATTTTACCATAATTATTTAAGTACAAATAAACATTATTGGAAACATGTTACTTCTTAGTACAAACTTAATAGAAACTCTTAATCTAAGCAAATGTTTAAAACACTTCACAACCCTGTATATTTTATACTTGAATGATGCCACATTTCGTTTACGGGGTCGAATCGACCGGGTCAAATAACTTACACATGTTAAATTTATTATCAAATTATACATATTAAAAAAAATACATCTACTCGAAAATAATATTATTATGATATTATGACAATTTCGAAACTGCCTAAAATAAAAACCGTAGATGGAATATATTATCTCTTAAAAACTAATCTTATAGTAAACCGTGTCACGTGAACAGGTGCGATGGAAACCGTTTAAATTTTGATTAATGCACGTCTAGGAAATGCGTTAAAAGATGCGTGGTAAGAAGAGGAGGCCAAGACCAGAGTACTAAAATATGATTAGAAATAGCGCAGGACGTTAATCTATAGGGAAGAATACGAGAACCTAAGAGAATTGATTTACAGATGCAGTGACGCGGAGAGCTGCAGCAAACTATAATCTATAATAAGAATTACTGACAAGAAGATACGTGCCCAATACGATTATTACGCGCAGTTAATATGACGTCACACGAGTTAAAGATCATTAAATATTACTGTGGGATCTAAACGAATACAAATTTACGCGTTGATGTGAATTAAAATGACTTTAAATTTCTTATATTATTCTATATTTTAATTTGGTTTAGATATTTGTTTTTTATTTTTAAAACCCAGAGTGACTCTTATTAAGTATTTAATAATAGTCAAGCGTCAATTCGTAAGTAGCTATAATCACGTATGAGCGTTTTGAAAATAAAACGTGATTTATTACCGAGACTGGGACTATTAGGTTGCTCAATCCGATTACAACTGATAACCGATACTGATAAGAAGTATAACACAGGCACTGATCGTGTGCGTATACTATAAACTACATATGGGTGTAAAAGTATACAAAGTTTGCACGCCCCTATTATTGACCGAAACCGGTCGAATTAACGTAAACGTTTGTCAGGGCTGCCGATCACCCATTATTATTATTACGTAGATGAGATTATAATAATGCGTTTATTCGGTCCGTGTAATACGTCGAGTAGTTTGAGTTTTAATTTACCGTTCTACGGAGGAGGGTGGTGGCGGTTTAATTAAAACTTCGTTCGGAAGAAAAAAAGAGAGAGAGACATGAAAAAAAAAAGTAAAACATGCCGTCACGACCGTATTTTTGTACACATACGATCGAACACTATACCACGTACGGTATACCGATGTGACGTTTTCTGTCGGTATAGTGTATTGTGATTATTTTCAGGGTAGTCGACATTTGATCGGTCGAACTTCGCCCGAATAAACATGCATGTCAAGTGAAAATTCATTTTCACTATAATATGGAACGTTAGTAAATTATCATCGTTTCAATCACCGAGCATGGAATGAAATACAAGTGCAATAATGAAGGATCCATATCCGTGTCTTCATACTTCTCGAAACTGTACGCGACCGGAGCTCATGACGGCCGAAACTCGCTAAATAAATACGAATATTATTATTATTACACACTGCGAATATAACTGCGAGTATCCTCCGTGCGTATTTTAGATTTCGAGCGTAGGGAGGGAGCTATTGATTTTACTAAGATGTTTATTTTTTTTCCTTTGTTTTGTTTCTAGTCTGTGGACGCGTCTTTTCCAAGTAAACTTGCTCCGATTTTTACGTGTAGCAACTTTTCTGAAAGCTCAAGTTATCAAGATATTTTTTTGATTTTTGACGCCTTTTTTTTAAAATAAAAGCATTTAAGTGGGAAAAAACGTAGGAAAACGTGCAATTTCACGATTTCATTATTTTATAAAAACACGGACGACGTTTTCTACCAGAAAAAATGATTCAATCGAAAAATCACATGATACTTTTTTTGGTGCCTTATTGGTTTACTTTCTTACAGTATCACCGCCAAAACTTTTGAGTCACTTTTGAACATTAAAGGAATTTTAATTTTTGTTGCAATTCGGTTATAAATACACGTAGATACTTCAAATATAGTAATAATACTTATATTGGACTTACCTAGACGTGGTAAAATTTCCAAAATCATCGGACGACTTTTTTTTTTTTTTTTTAATAAGCGTTTTGAAATTAAATTTAAAAGAAAATCGCAAAAAAAATGACGGCATTTCGAATTATGTATTACCGTACTGCGCTCGGAATCGTCTTTCGCCAAACAATGGTTAATCGTTGCTTACAGATACAAACTAAATAACCTTGTGTATCCTAACTTCCCAACTTTTCACCTACAACAGCGGCCGCTCCCATTCCCAGTATCAGCTCTTTTTTTTCCCTTTTTTTTTTCGCGTACGACCGCGGCTGTTTTTTTTTCCGCGCGCGCCCGTCAATGGGGACTCATGTAAATCACACCGCCGCGGAGTGAAACCGACGCACGTTTTTTTTTTTTTTTTTTTTTTTATCACTTTTTTACGGTTTTTTTTTCGCCCCCACCCCCGCCTATTATGCGAGCGCGCCTGTTTATGTACATTTATGCCGCACGCACGTCGATGTGCGTGTACCGGCGCACAACACGGCCAGTGCGAAATATTACGTGCGGCGAATTTATGCGTGTGACCACCGCGTGACGTCACGCGGCGCGTGTACACTATATTACGCGTAATAGAGGCCCGGCTCGTTTTCTGTACGCGACGCACGCGAAACGTGTGGGTTATAAATAGTTTTTATTTTTTTATTTTTTTTTTTTTTGTCGCCGACCATCAATCTACCGGATTAATCGTTTTTTAATTTCCGGTAACCGACCGCGGGCCAACACGCTTGCCCGGGAAAAAAAAAAAAAAAACCCGATCTCCTCCGGTTCGCAACGAAGCGTATATCTATACGTGTGTATACGGATAAAGGTATTCGCGCGCGCGTACGGTAAAACATAATATCGATCGGTCCGATTTTCGAAAACCGTACGGCGCTACGAAACAATGTTAATATTTCATTTCAATACGATTATTACCGTGTGTGATATTTTGTTGTAGGGAAATTATATGCATACCTACTCACAGTACTGCTGTGACGGCGGCGCGGCAGTGTCCTCAGTGGAAAGCTAAAGGGAACGTCACACACATTTCTACTATATTCGACCCGTTTTAAAATATTTTATTTGTAATGAATATAATATGTGTACCACTCGAACAGCGAACGCTTCGTTATGTTTATTAAATTATTAACTCCTCTAAATAGATAATACCAAGCACTCAGCCGCTTTCGAATCTTTATAAGTCGCACGATGACACTGTTATAATAATAAACATAATAAATTGTACATATAGATATGTAAACGGCTCACGATGTCAATGCGATATTGTAATATCGTGTAATCATAATTATAATAATATCGTGTAGACCGGATTTTGAACGTGATCGTAAACTTTATATCGTAAAAAAAATGCGTAACAATAAAATAGCTGCCGGAAAGTATATGGATGAAGTGGTGGTGAGGAGGTGGCAAAGGGTCGGAGCGGTTGATACTTTCGTTTCAGAGCCACGTTCGAATATATGTTGTGCATGACAAGAAAACATAATGTATCAGGAAACAGCTGGGATGTTACGGGGTGATTTAATTTATTTCCATAGATGTCGATAAATCGTTGCTAACGAAAAACGATTCTGTGCAAAAGTTTGGTTTCACATAATGATGATTCGATAAATTTAAATCAAAAATCTTAATACGTCTAGAAAATGCTACTCTTACAGGGCTAACAATTAAATACTAGACAATTTCAAGTATTTACGATTCTTTTTAATTGAATTACACCTAATGAAAATAACAAAAACCGTTATATCGTAAATATTTTCGTTATTCCAACGATTTTTCTTAATTATTAAGAAAATTATAAGGAGAAATAACATACTTTACCCTGAATTCACCAAATAGACTCTATTTGCTAGGTATCAGAAAGATTTCATTTGCGAATATTTGACGCGGCCGTTCTCGTTCGGAAAAGAGTGCCAAAAATTAGGTGACTGGACCGGAAATCGAACCTAAGTCTCTCGTTTACTCAACGATCGCTTTTACCACACTAATCTATATGCTACCTGCATTTTAACACCATTTCCGTTTTACTTGAACAATATAAAATTCTGGGTTTGGATGGATGGTGCAATGGCCGTGCATTATGCAGCGCTCGGAAGCCATGTTAAATTGTATTTCAAAAAGTTTTTTACAGATTGAAAATATACATAAAAAACACACACCATATAGTAAAACCAATTCATTTCTCGTTATGCTCAAAATCAAAAAAAATTTAAATTTAAATAATAATAAAAGGAATACCTAGAAAACTAGAAAATATATTTTAAAAATTCTCTTTCTAAAGGAAATACATTTGTAGATGCCGAAAAGATGTAAATTTAACCTTTCTAAATTTTCCAGATTTCGCTTATGAAATAAACGACGTTTATCTATAGAAGGGAATCCAATCGATTCAAACATAAAAATAAATTTTAGTATTCATTTAAAGGTCAGCAATTTCATAGACGGTTCACAAAATGGCTAATAGAACGTATTAGAATGTAATAAGATGTTAATATTGTTCCAATATTTAAAATTTTAAAATCAAAATTGGCGACTAAGTAGTTTTAATTTTATTCTAAGTATATACAGACAATAAAGGACGTTTAAAACTGAAATGTGTTGCGTATATCTATAACGGTATTGATTCATCTAACATTACAGTAATGTTTACTCGTCTACTAAATGCATTTAACAGAAAAGCCTTATAAATAACTAGGTAAATAACATAAAACAGTCGAAGATGTATATTGGTTTGTTATAATATTTAAATGCCAATTTTTTCAACTTTCTTCCTACCATCTATAGTTTTCTTTAGAGTGTGTAAAATACATAGCCGCGACTCTGCCGAATGCCAAACTTTATTACCTCACCTATATAATATTATAGTTTTCGTCAACGTAACGATGTTTTATGGCATAAACACTTTGAAAAAAAAAAGTTGTAAATAGTACTCGTTTTAAGGGTAAAATATTGCGTTCTGTAACACCTTTCTATTTTTTTTTCCTATTAATATCATCAAACTTTTCTTTTATAAAGTATTAAAATTCTCTTCTTTTTTTTTGGAAGAGGAAAATAATGGGTAGGTACATATTTCGATTTGATGTAAAAATGACGATACCATCCTCGCGGAACGTAAAATTATCTACCTTAAAAAACACGCGCGCGCCATTTTTTTTTTTATTATCGATATATTATATTTTATTTTTTTTTTTTTTTTGGCATCGTCAAACCACGCGCAGTAATGGTACCCAAGAATGTGTAACACACGGTGTTAAAGTAGAATATTATTTGGCACTCGATCGTGCATTGTGATATTATTCGTTTCGTATAGTATATCTAATAGATACACAATGATATATACTATTACACATTAGGTACATCATTTATGAAAATCAATAACGGAAAACGAATTTGTTTATATTATGAAACGGGGCACAGTGTGATAAGCGTTTCTGTTTTTGAAAAGAAGGTTGGATTAGACTACTGTCTAGAGAGATAGTATATCAAAAAAATCGCTGTACTTTTCCTAATTAAGGAGAAATACCCTGAACAAGGGTAACAAAGTTAACCATTAGTAAAAAAAGTAATATTTATACGCAACGCCGTCGGTTTTTAAGAAAATTAATTAGAATATTTTGTTGTAATTCACGGTTATTACAATACAATTATAAAATAACCGTAAAGAATATCCAAAATAATTTCCAATGTTGCCTTTTTTCAAGTTGGTACATGTATTTATAATATATAATATGTGTTTTTTGCGAGGTGTTTTACCTCGTTACTATGCAGATATAATTATTTGACCAAACTGAAATGCTTGTAAATTTAACAAAAGGTTCACTATGAATTGTTTTTAATGTTTAAAAAAAGTTTAATGTACAATTTTTATCGTAAATATAACGGTCTTTAAAATCATTTATAAACCCAAACTTTGCTCAGAATCGTTTATCGTTAGCAAAGTTTTACCGTTGCTTACATATATAAATTAAATATTTTTATGTATCCTACCTTCCCAAATGCTTACCTTAAAGAATGGCAATATCAGCTCTTTTTTTTATACGTACTTATACGACGTAAATTAATGTACAAGAACAGATGCTTAACTATTATACTGAGGTATTAAGTATACGAAATAATTCTGATCGATACAAAAAAATGCGTATCGATTTGATAAGGCATAATGTAAAAAAAGAAAATACTACGAAAGAACTTGGTTTGGAATATAGTTAATTTATTATTACGATTTAAAAAGATCATCAAGTATTTAGTAAAACATAGGCTAAAAATGAAAACACTTAATGCACCGTTTTTAAAAATTAACATCGAAAACAATTTTTGTTTTTTTATTTTTCTAAATAATCGTCTTAAATTGTAACGGCACGAATAATATAAAATGTAAAACAAGAATACAATGTTACGCTTGACGCTACAATAAGAATATTTTTTCGAATACGAGCATTTTTCAGTAAATATTAACTGCTTTTTTTTAAGTCTTATGTACAATCCATCATCAAAAATCCTCGTAGAATTATTTGAACTACGCGGTATATTACAAAGTTTTTTTTCAAATCTGATTTTTTAAAAAATAAATGTTATAACTAAAACAGATTCAAATATTCTAATCTTACCTGCGAGTTTCCATAAAATTTGTATTAAATATATTATCTCAAAAATGATTTGATATTTTTGTATGTGTAATTGAAATATGTTCAAGACTTACCTAAAAAAAAAAAAACAAAAATAAACAAGGATTAATACATTAGTCAATTTCAAGATTATTATTTTATTACAATTTTCATGTCTTATTCACTTATTAAGTAATTAAGTATATTATACTTATATATATATATACTTTTTTTTCTTTATTAAAACAACATCGAAATATTTTGTATTATCAAAACATATTAAACGTTTGTAAATAAAATGACCATTATGCAATAATGACAGTCTAATAATAGCTTATGTGAACCAAGAAAATTAAAAATTATAATTTGTCTAAATAAATCGTAGCTATTTGATCTCATGTAAAATGAGAAAAGTTCAACTAAAAAAAAAAAATCATTAATTTTACACAGCGTTGGAAATCAAATGTTATTTTTGGCCAAGTATAAAATGTTCCAAAATGAGATGTTTGTTATTTTTTTCTTATTTATAGGATACGATGAGTACTGCCAAATTTCGATGGTCTTATAATCAGTTATCAGAATGTTATCATTGAGATGTAAATTATTACAATATTTATCTAGAAAAATGATAATCGATAACATTGCTCTAAAGTAATCTTATTACTGTTATCGATAACAAATGTTTAAATTAATCTCAAATAATATTATAAAAAATAAGTGGAATTTATCTAGACGAAAAAAAATTGATTATGAGTACATTATACCATGGAGATGAAACATTTTAACCATTCGAATAAGTCAAAGGAATTCAAATTATTATTGGGTTACTTGTGACTTTGAGTTATAGTTTGTACTTGAAAACTAAGCATTGTTGAAGTGCATTTTTGTGAGTTGCTTGAAGATGCACATAAATTTTTCGATGCATATTATAACGATTATGATAATGATAATGATTTATATTGTTCAAGTTCATTGTTTTAAATAAATATTAGTGAAAAACCAAAATTGTAATTAAGTTTCAACGAAATATTTTTCAGCAAGTTTTTTTCGGAAATTTCCAATAAGGTAATTTCCATGGAACATCAAATAATTTGTTTTTATACGATATTCCTAGTAGAATATTTAGTACAAGTTGAAACAATTATAAAATGATGTATTATGGTCAATAACCTAATACGATAAATTAGATTATTCTCCCTTTTCACCTAACCTTACCTTCTATATTATAAGCAATGCAAATAATATTTACTTAGTTTAAAAAAAAAAAAAAAAACCGTTTCCGTCGGGATATAATAAGACCAACGAATCAAAAGATAAAAACAAATATTATCTAGACGAATTGATATGTCAACACTGCTTATTGGTGCTTGTATATTATTATAATAATACATTATAATCACGACCATAGCGTATCATGCGGTATTTTAGGAGACATTTCGTATGCACAAACACGATCGTACAATATTATAATAATGTTTCGAGATGGCCGCATCGCATATAACCGGGAAACCGGGTCGTCGTGGGGGTCTATTGCCTATATTATGTGGTATATAGGTACGACAAGTTAACCCAACGCGACATATTATTATTTGTATTATTATATTATAATCGAGTGAAATATGTAAATATAGGTAATGACGTCACGGTCGGTATAATAATAAATAGTATATAGCTGATGTCTATCCGGCTAAAATGTCTACCGCGTTTGCACAATACCGCGCTGATATAAACGGAGACGAGCGCTGCGGTTTTTCCGAAAAGCGTGCGTTTGTCGGGAAAATTACTTTTTTTTTCCGTTATCATCTGTTTTTCCCATTTAAATCGTTAATTTTTTCCTCTTGTTTTCTACATTTATTATTACAAGTATTCAAAAACATTTTGCATTATAACGTTTTATTACGTACTCGAGCGATTGATTTTACGGTTTTTATTTTCGATTTTTTCTTTTTGGGGTATAATGCATTTTTCTTTCTTATACGTAGGTATACTTATTGGACGTACGATTGGCCCACTCTAACTTATTTCCCTGGTATAAAAACGATTTTCTGATCGATAATAACGTCATTTATATTCAAAATTATATCCCCTGGTATTATTTGGGAAATCTGTTGGGGTATACGGAACTAAGAAATCATTCTTTCGCAACATTTCGGTAAAAATCATATTGGAATTCCACCCGGATCGTATCACAAAATCACAAACCAACTCTGATTCCCCAATTTGAGCTCATTTAGAGATAGCAATCATAAATGTCAAAAGCCCGTTTTATAATAATATAATAAAGATACAATTCAGTGCAATAATTCACTCTATGCTTGAAAAAATTCGACAATAGGACGCTGTGCCACACAAAATTAACAATTTAAAATAGGAATATATACCCAAAACACTCATTTTTAAAATGTTGGAATTTTTACTGCTGATCTCTTAAAGACGAAATATGCATATAGGTACTTAATAAGCATTCGAGAGAGAATATACATAATATTCAATCGAGTGCGTGTATAATGCAACTATCATTGACGGCGCATAAAAAAGGTAGTTGTTTTTGTGAAAGGCCCGATGAAAAATGAAAGCCAATGCCAGAAAAACGAATACGCATAATTTTTTTTTTTTTTTAAATTAAAAAATAACGTAAAAGATACACAGCTGTCAATACAATGATAGGTACGTATATCATGTTATTATCTTCAAAGACATCAAACCCGAGCACTATATATAGTAAAATTTTTTAAAATATTCATAAATTTATCTGAGAAACATGTTTCTTGAAATTTGGAAATATATTTTAGAAAAAAGTTACGTTGCTATTCAAATAATATAGTATGTGTAAATACAAATACGTATAGGTATATATTACTATTAATTATTATTAAATATCATGAAGTCACTAAATGTTAAAATGAAACACACATATTTTTTTCTGTTTGGAATTAATATTCCAAAATAAATTATCAAATAACTAACATTACTGTATTTTTTCAGTAGTTAACTTTGTCTATAATAACTATTATATGATTTAAACGATGAAGTTTTATGTTATTTGTATCGATATATGTAATTTTTCTATTAAGACTATATAAGATGAATATTCCACCAAAAAATCACCTATTTTTTTTTAAGCGTTATAACTGGGATAGAACATCATTTTTTTTTCTAATCCGAAAAACCATATTAAAAAATAAATTAAAAATATAAACCATATTCAATTATATTTTTTCACTTTTTTAAATATAAACAATCGTTATAAAATAACATTAATAATTTATATTTTAAGAACCATTCAAAAAAATTATGTATGTTTTAGTATAATATTTAAAACTTGTTATCTAAAAGAGAGTTATAAATTTATAATAAAAACTATAATAGTATCTTAATAGTTTTGTTAAACTACTCGCGGTTTTTCTTTAAAACGTATACGATATTTGTGTTACCTAGGTCACGCTATTTAATAATAGCATTACAGAAATGTGCTCGGGCATTGAAAACGGTCACGACAGCATAATAACCCATCGAAGATTGAAAAAATAAATATATTTCAGTTTTTTTTTCATTGTTGCCCGGATTTGTTGCATACTATGTGTCGTTTCATTTATAAGAGGACAGTGCTTCTGATAGAATGTGCATCATTTTTTTCTATTTATAACGAATCCCTTTGTCAATAAAGGTGTTGACGTTGACGAAATATCTGTATAGAGGTACAATACTGTTGGAAAGTTAATACATTATGTACTGAAGACGGTGCCAGGAATTCAGTCACGAGTATATGGATTTTTAGTTTCAGTTATTAAATCGCTTAGGATAATGCTCCGAATCCTACAATGCACCTAACCTACCGCATTGTACGAGTCTTCTCGCGTCACTAAAAATATATTTTTAATTTTTGGTTTTCTGTAAACTCAATATCTGTTAATAACATTGATTAATTAATTTACGCCCACTCAATTTTGTTTTCGCTGACACGAACTTCTGCAGGTCATATTCGAACACTGAGGGTTGATATAAACCACTTTGGGTACCTCTGAAATAAATATTATTTATTTTTAGGAGAACATTTTTGTAATTCAACGAGTACGTGTAAATAATATTAAAAAAAATACTTGTATTACAAAGAAAAAAAATAAGCTAACCTATGATAATGGAGACTAGTGCTACCACTGTTGTAGTTTGAAAGTTTGGAAGGTAGGATATAAACGGGAATTTTATGTATATCTGTTCACAAAAATGATTCATTACTAACGAAAAACGCTTCTTAGTGGCGTTCGATTAGAAATGTTTTGAAAATCCGTAATATTTATAATTAGAAATTAAAAAGTTTCGTACGTTTTACAATTTATCCCAAGTTTTTTCCTAGTTTTCTCATTTATTATGAAAATTACAAAGAAAATCAAAAAAGACTATCTTATAGTACTTTCCCAATCAGATTTCCTTCCATATAAAGTGGTACATTTGAAGATCTAAGCCAAATTTCTGATAGGACAATTGTTCACAGATTAAAAAAAAAAAAAAAATAAACATAATTG